TCTGCTGGGGTCCTTGGACAATTTCGATGTCTTTTAATGTACGATAAATAATATATACCGCATATAATATAAGTTGTGCAATGTATTATTTTACTGTAAGATAAATAAATATTATATACGAACATCTCATATAATTTTTTATTTTTTTTGAGAAAAAGAAGAATAATAAAAACATTAATGTACAAAATAAAAAATCTGAAAAACTATAATTATCAATAGTCTTTTTTTATGAACTTAGCACTAGATATATAGGTAGATGTTTATCATTCCTTCGTGTAAAAGAAAATTGAGCACGATTATATGAACTATTGATGACACGTGCATCCATTTTTCATAAAGTTTTAGGAATAAATTTTGGGCAGAGACTGCAAATAAGTGATTTGGTAATCTTATGGTGTCAAACACTACTTGTATTAAAAAAAAAAAAAAAAAAAAAAAAAAAAAAAAAAAAAAAAACACTACTTGTATTCCTCTATGCAGTTTTATGTCATCCCAAGTTTTTGATAATGAAGGAACACTTTGTAGCTCTCCAAATTGGGGTAATGACATGCAAGGATGATGGAGAGATCCATGTTTTCTTGTTTAAATGAACACTTGAGATCTTCTCGTCTCATCTACATCACATTGCATGGAAAATGTTTAGAAAACAACAAAGTTTAAAACTGAAAACTAAGTAATAAAGTAATATTTATACCAATTAAAAAAAAGTAATATGTATACCGTTGACAAAAAGAAAGTAATATTTATACCAATTAACATAAACAAAAGACTAGTAATCTATGTTTTGCATGAAGCGGTGCTTTTGCTTTTGCTTTCAATAACAATGGTCTAACATGATTTTCTACTTGACCTTTCGCTTACTAATATGTATACATTTTGGTCAAATACTGCAAATATGATTTTCTACTTTCTAAAATGGCTTATTTGTTTTTCAAATCTTGTTGTCGTATATTATTACCACACAATCGTAGATACAATTAATCTTTTCCTCGAAAAACAAATCATCACCACCAAAAATGTTTCTTCATAGTATATTTTAGTATTTTACAATGTACAAAAAGTGAGCATCTTTACCTCATTTCAGATTTGTTATGGCATAGTTTTGTTTTGTTTCTTGAAAGTAGTTATTGCATCACGACTTCACGAGAATGGTCTTTTACGATGGATTCTTGTATACATTTCCACCACCAATTCTAGATTGCCACTAGTTATTATAAACTCATGAAATATCTAACATCATATTGGACTACATCATGGATATTCATAAGTAGATATCAGTATATCACTCAGATTAAATATTTGGCTATGTTCATACTCTTTTCTTCTAAAACTATAAAATCTCATAAACAAAAATAAAACAACTCTCTATAAATCTCAATCTTCATAATTGGAAGAATCTTCATAATTTCTTGGACTTCAATGATTATCATATTATAAATTTATACTACTTCTCTTTTGTATACTTTGGCCAAAAATATAGATAAATACGAAAGTACTAATCCACTAATTATTTTCAGTTATTATTAACTAACTAAATATTTGTATATTTTAATAATAATAACAAATCTAGTCAGCTGCAGAGCATGTGAAAGCTCCCTTGGTCCAGTGGTTGATGAAGGGTTGTTTAAAGCTTCTACACCTAGAGATCTGGGGTTCGACGCTCAGGTAATTTACAGATTAAGAAGAAAAGTTTACAGGAGATCTACAATAATGCACAATTAGAACTGTTCGCCATGATTCTACGCATGGAGAAGGAGTGCCATCAGAAAATGGTGTAATATGTGGTGAATCTAATAGGGTCGGAGAGAATTGTTGGTAATAGAATTGAATAATATCGATTTTAAGTTTAAGAAATACCGTAACTTTTATCATTACTATATGGCTATGCTACTTATTTCCTTAAATCTTTTATAATTATTAATTAACATATTAATCAAGACAAAGTTCTATCAAGTAGGAGTAGTCTCTTATTCTTAACAAGAGAATTAATATACTTCATATGATTCAATGTTGTTGGAGAATTATTGAAGCTAAAAAAACCTTTTTTTTTTGTAAGATTGAAGCTAAAGAACCTTGACCCACGATAAGCATTTGTGGTTTCAAATACTCACGATAAGATATTAAGTGTGGCAGAAGATTTTGAGACTTATACTTTGAAAGACATTAAAAAAACATATGTAAGTAGTATGAGACAACATGATATATATATGTAAGTAGTTTTATTTGAATTAAATGTCAACTTGTGTTAGAAGGTTCTAATTAAACCCAAGAAGAAGGTTCAACTTGTGGAGAAACAAAGTCACTAGGGACGCACGTACGTGTTTCGTCATACAAAACAACGAAGGGCTTGATGAGTCGTCGTAACTAACCTCATGGCAAAAAAAAAACCATTTTGTTCTCTTTCATCTACGTTTGAAAACAAAGCACGAGAAGAGAGAGAGAGAGAAACGTGGCAAGGTGTTGGGTAGTATAAAAAGAAGTGTTAGCTATAAGACAAATATATGGATGCAAGAGAGGTAGCTGTGAGTGTATACAATTCATATCACAAAGGGTTTGTGTAACAAACGTTCTCATTGGACGTGAAGTGGGTAATTGTGTATGTTTTACTTTCATTGTTTTAAACACACGATTTATCCAACAAGCGTGAGAGTTTTCCGAAAAAAAAGGAGTAACATTCAAGTAGCATTGACCACGGAGGTTCGAGATTTAACATGGTTTCTCCCAATCCCAAAAAATTAGTTTTTGAGCCTAGAAAACTTTTGAAATCACTTTTGAGTTATAAAAAAAAAAAGTAGCCAAAACATGTAAAGTTGTGGACCGTAGCAGAAAGAGTCTGCTTCAATGATGGAACAAAACCATAGCATATAAAAGTAGCCAAAGGCTCAATGCTTTGAGATGGATTGATTACCCTATATTGTCCTTATACATAGATAGGTTTGATCAATAGGGGCCAAAAAAAGAACACTAGTTAGCAATTGGGTTTCATTAGGAGGTACGTATAATCACACATGCTAAAGTGAAGGGACGATTAAACTATGCAAATTGAGACATTTCAGGAATAAACCCCTAAATAAGAACATCACATTAAACAAGAGGTTTAGATAAGAGTTGTACACTTTATAACCTTCTACAAAAATAAACCATAATGAATACGACATATCACCTTCTTTTACAAGATTGATACTTGTATATTAATCCGTTTTAAGACTAATGAATATACGATTTCTTACAAAGAACATTGACTCATTTATATATATAACTACAATATTGGTTAACGAAGACATTAACAAGTTAAACTAGTCTCTGTTCTACTCTTAAAACTCGAACTCGTAAAGAAAAGAATTGTTGTCTCTTTCATGGTAGTTTAGACATAGATGGTACGTACGTAGTATTAGAATCCACAATTGTATTTTCTTCTATAAGAGTGTATATATGTATGTATGAACACGGTGTGATTCAACTTCAGCAGCTAGATAGATACATTTATTTCAAAGATGACATCTACAAAAACTTTTATTTAAATCGGGTAAATATCAAAGAGAATCAAATTAGAACTAACCAATATGTTGCCAAGTTTGGGGTTTGATGACATCAAACATATGGACGAGAGAACGCCTTTGACATAGCAATTATTTTATAGGGATGATTGAGAAATTTTCTAATTTTAAAGATAATAGTATAAATTAAAAAGATAGGCTACCTCTTTGTGAAATTGAAGAAATATATACAATTCTGTTGTTTAGATATTAGGGATTAGGTATTGTGAGATGGAGAACCGGAGATATACCGAGATCGACGGTTGAAAAGATAAAGCGAAGTTATGGAAATAAAAAAATACAATATAATTCTTCCTTTAAACACTTTTGTGTTCTTACTCTCATCAATTTATCATTAATGTATAAAACTTTAAAATCCATGGTTTAGATTGTGGACTATTTTGTTAATCTATTAAACTTAATTAGACTATTTTCTTAACTTTGCTATGACATTTACTCTCTTTATTTCATGCATGCATGTTTATCAATATCAAATACATATTTAGCATAGAAATCATATATATTTAACAATTACTTTGCAATATTTTAACATATTATCATATATCTTATATGTATATATGTATATGTGAATACTTATATAAAATCCAAATATAGAAATACAACTGCCCTCTTTTTTGATGAAAGGACTTGAGTAATGAGAAACAAACACACTTCACAACAAAAGCAGAAACTAAAGAATTATTCTTCAACCTCGTCTCTCATCTCCACCACTCTCTCATATTCCATGGCCAAGGGCAAAACCATATCAATTTATCTATGTATTTCATTTTCAATATTACTTATTTATCTCATATTGATCAACCTCGTCTGCTCATTACCATTACTTACACAACTCAAACTCTCATTAGGGTTAAAATAAGGAATTAAGGATAAATTGAGAGACTACACAACTCTATAGAATTTTACATCATTTTTACCATATTTCAACCAATCAAAATTTACGGATACGACGTAAATTCATCGAATATATAAAAAAATATAATAAATGAAAGTTGTAAACGGATTATAAGTTTGTTAAAAAAAAAAGAAGTTGTAAAATCATGAAACTACTAAAAATTATTGATCAGTTATTAACAGTTAACACATAATAATATTGAAAGTAAATCCTAATTTCGAAAAAACTATAGGTTTGGAAAAAAAAAATATTTATGCAAATTAACATAACTATTTTACCATTCCACTTATCACTAATAAAATTTACTACTCCACTAACAATTAACTTATCATAACTTTTTTGTCAGTTGATCAACCCCTTGCATGCATGTTAAAGATCCAAAACTTTGATCATTTACAATAAAGCCTAAATTACTCTTTATGATCTTCTGGTTCGTAGCGATTACAAGAAATCATTTTAGTATCATTGACATAGCCGCAACATAAATGAAAGTAAACACTTGTAATTTGCATGTTCCAATGTCTCTACTACTCTCTGACCCTTCGTTGACCTTTGTTCTTCTCTTTTCCCACTCTACTCTCTCCTCAATGAAAGCTCACAGACATAAAGACTCGAGTGTTTTAGCTCTCTTTATAGCCAATCTCAAAACTTTATCCTCTTCATTTACTTCTCCTCCATCTCATCAAACACATACAGAGAGAGAGAGAGAGAGAGAGTCCCCATGCACCGTTCTTATAAACCAATCATCTTACTTCAACAAAAAACCAAACGATTGTCTTAAATTCTCCTTTCGTTTCCAACACTAGTCTCTTCTCACTACCACAAGAAGCTTCATTCATCTATCTACTTACTACTAGCCACCACCATTAGAACTCGAAGAAGCTTCTTCTTCATTCACCACAATCACAGATCTCTTGTTTCCTAAAGAACAAAAAATGCAGCAAAAGTCTCTGTTTCTTGCTCTGTTTCGTACTCTGTTTCATCTACTCTGCTTCTTAGTCCGGTCTGGTTCATCTCAAAGCGACGATCTTGGAACGCTCCTCGAACTCAAGAACGCTTTTGTCACAAACCCAAAAGACGAAACTATTCTCAAAACTTGGAATTCGGATGATCCCAATTTCTGCAACTGGACCGGCGTCACATGCGGTGGTCGTGTAATAACCGGTTTAAATCTCTCAAGTTTAGGTTTAACCGGATCAATTTCTCCATCGATTGGCCGGTTTACTAACCTAACCCACATCGATCTGTCATCGAACCGTCTCGTTGGTCCTATCCCAACGACTCTCTCCAACCTCTCCGCTTCGTTGGAATCGTTACATCTCTTCTCTAACCAACTCAGCGGCGTGATACCGAGTCAACTCGGCTCGCTCGTGAATCTCAAGTCGTTGAAACTCGGAGACAACGAGCTCCACGGATCGATCCCGGAGACGTTTGGGAACCTCGTGAATCTCCAGCTGCTTGCTCTAGCTTCGTGTAGACTCACCGGTTCGATACCGAGTCAGCTAGGTAGACTCGTTCAGCTCCAACTCTTGATTTTGCAAGATAACGAGCTCGAAGGACCTATTCCGGCGGAGATAGGTAACTGCACCAGCCTCGTATTGTTTACAGCTGCGGAGAATCGTCTCAACGGGTCGTTACCGGCGGAGCTGAGTCGACTCGTGAACCTCCATACGTTAAATCTGGCGAATAACAGAGTCTCCGGTGAGTTACCGAGTCAACTCGGTGATTTGGTTAATCTCCAGTACCTTAATCTGATTGGTAACAAGCTCCAAGGTTCGATTCCGAAGAGATTAACGGAGTTGGTTAATCTTCAAACGCTTGATCTGTCTTGGAATAGTCTCACCGGAGAGATACACGAAGGGTTTTGGAACATGAGTCAGCTTGAGTTCTTGATTTTATCAAAGAATCGTCTCTCTGGTTCTTTACCAAAGACTATATGTTCTAACAACACAAGCTTGAAGTATCTGTCTCTGTCTGAAACTCAGCTTTCCGGCGAGATTCCGGCGGAAATCAGCAAATGTCAGTTGTTAAGAGAGCTTGACTTGTCGAACAATACGATCACAGGTCGAATCCCGGATTCGTTGTTTCAGCTCGTCGAACTCAGGAATCTTTACCTTAACAACAATACCTTGGAAGGTACGTTATCTCCATCAATATCTAACCTGACGAATCTACAAGAGTTTACTCTGTATCGCAATAACTTGGAAGGCAAGGTACCGAAGGAAATCGGATTTCTCGGCGAATTGGAGTTTCTGTATCTATACGAGAATCGGTTTTCGGGTGAAATACCGATGGAGATTGGGAATTGCACGAAGCTGAAGGCGATGGATTGGTTTGGTAATCGTTTGAGTGGAGAGATACCTTCTTCAATAGGAAGGTTAAAAGAGCTTACTCTGCTTCACTTGAGAGAGAACCAGCTTGTAGGTAACATGCCAGCTACTTTAGGTAACTGTCATCAGCTCACCATTTTGGATTTAGCGGATAACCGGCTCTCGGGTTCGATTCCTGCCTCGTTCGGGTTCTTAACGGCTTTGAAACAGTTTATGATTTACAACAATTCTCTTCAAGGAAATTTTCCAAGTTCACTTATCAACCTCAAGAATCTCACAAGAATCAATTTTTCCAGCAACAAGTTCAATGGTACAATCAGCCCGTTGTGCGGTTCGACCTCTTATCTTTCGTTTGATGTCACGGATAACGGATTCGAGGGAGACATACCACTTCAGCTAGGGAAGTCTCCGAATCTTAATCGTTTAAGGTTAGGGAAGAACCAATTTACAGGAAGAATCCCTTGGACGTTTGGGAAGATCCGGGAGCTGTCTTTATTGGATATCTCAAGCAATTCTCTAACGGGAATCATACCGGAAGAGCTCGGTTTGTGCAAGAACCTGACACACATTGATCTCAACAACAACTTTCTTTCAGGGGTTATACCTCCATGGCTTGGAAAGCTTCCATTATTAGGAGAGCTCAAGCTTTCTTCTAATCAGTTCATTGGACCTCTCCCTATTGAGCTGTTCAATTTAACACAGCTTCTTGTGTTATCCCTTGATGACAATTCACTCAACGGCTCGATTCCGCAAGAGATTGGAAACTTGGAGGCTCTCAATGCACTTAACCTCGAAAAGAATCAGATTTCAGGACCTCTTCCTTCATCAATAGGCAAGCTGAGCAAGCTTTACGAGCTTCGGTTATCAAGAAACGCCTTAACCAGAGACATCCCAGTTGAGGTTGGACAGCTACAAGATCTTCAAAGTGCTTTAGATCTCAGCTACAACAACTTTACCGGACATATCCCGGCTACAGTTTCGACGTTACATAAGCTTGAATCCCTTGATCTGTCTCACAATCAGCTTGTAGGAGAAGTACCTGGCCAAATAGGAGAAATGAAAAGCTTAGGATATCTCAACCTCTCTTACAACAACCTCGAGGGGAAGTTAAAGAAACAGTTCTCTAGATGGCAAGCTGATGCATTTGTAGGCAATGCAGGTCTTTGTGGAAGCCCTCTTAGTCACTGCAACAGAACAAGCAAGAATCAACGAAGTCTTAGTCCGAAAACCGTGGTTATAATCTCTGCGGTTTCATCATTAGTTGCAATCGCTTTGATGGTGCTTGTAATCTTCCTTTTCTTCAAGCAAAGTCATGATCTTTTCAAGAAAGGGCGAGGCGGTAGCAGCGCATTCTCATCAGACTCTTCCTCTTCACAAGCTCCTCTGTTCAGAAATGGAGGTGCAAAGTCAGATATAAAGTGGGAAGACATTATGGAAGCTACACATTACCTTAACGACGAGTTCATGATTGGATCAGGAGGGTCAGGAAAAGTTTACAAAGCAGAGTTGAAGAAAGGAGAGACGATTGCGGTGAAGAAGGTTCTATGGAAAGATGATTTAATGTCAAATAAAAGCTTTAACAGAGAAGTTAAGACTCTTGGAAGAATCAGACACAGGCATTTGGTAAAGCTAATGGGTTACTGCAGCAGCAAAGCAGAAGGGTTGAATCTGTTGATTTACGAGTATATGGAGAACGGAAGCGTTTGGGATTGGATTCACGCGAACGAGAAGACGAAGAAGAAGGAGGTTCTTGATTGGGAAACAAGATTGAAGATAGCAGTAGGGTTGGCTCAAGGAGTAGAGTATCTTCATCATGATTGTGTTCCTTCGATTGTTCATCGCGATATTAAATCCAGTAACGTGCTTCTTGATTCCAACATGGAAGCACATCTAGGAGATTTCGGACTCGCCAAGATCTTGAGTGAGAATTGTGACACCAACACAGAATCAAACACTTTGTTTGCAGGCTCTTACGGCTACATCGCGCCAGGTAATGTCTTTCTCAAGTTTCTTGACTTGCTTTTTCTACTGTTAAAGCTAACGTTTTCTGAAATTTGGTTTATGTCAGAGTATGCTTACTCATTGAAAGCGAATGAGAAGACCGATGTTTACAGTATGGGGATAGTGTTGATGGAGATTGTGACTGGTAAAATGCCAACAGAAAAAATGTTTGATGAAGAGACAGATATGGTTAGATGGGTAAAGACTGTTCTTGATACACCGCTAGGTTCTGCAGCGAGAGAGAAGCTGATTGATTCAGAGCTTAAACCGCTTTTACCCCGCGAAGAAGAAGCAGCATATCAAGTTCTTGAAATAGCAATTCAGTGCACAAAGACTTATCCACAAGAGAGACCATCTTCAAGACAAGCTAGTGACTACCTTCTTAATATCTTCAACAATAGAGCAGCCAGTTACAGCGAGATGAGACCTCGTACCGATAAATGATTTTCGAGAAGTGAAGCTTTAGTAAACTCGAAATATATTTCTTCTGTTTTGCTAGAGTTAGATTGCTTTCTTATGACTCTTCAAGTTTCTAGTCTTGCCAAAGATAAGTATTCGAACATAACAATGTACTCATCTTCTTTGGTACTTAGATAGTGTAATATTTATTAACATAGAAGATCTCATTGTCAAAATACACCAATTTGTAATCAAATCCAATAAAACTATAGAGAAATTTAAATTTCTTATATATTACCATTTCAACTCACAACTAAAACATGTTAGTATATTAACATAACTAGTTACACAAAGAATATGAAGATATTATCTATATAAAATATATATCTAGTGAGATTAAGTCCTCAAGACTCAGCTTCTTCTCATTCTTTTTTCCATAAGACTCAGCTTCTTCTCTACTCTATATATCATTCTTTTTAGATCCTCTCTTTGCTTATTTGGGAGTCCTCTGTTTGTATGTTGTGTTACAGTTTTCATAAAAGTCAAATTCTGTTATCTAAATATCCAAAACTTTTATAACAACTTTAGAAACAGAGGACTTAAGAACAGCCAAAAGAGACAATTTTTTTCTTACGATTGTTATTTGATTTGATCAATTTCTCTGTTATCAATCTTATTTCTGTTCTCAAGGTTCATCGAAAGAAAAAATAATTTCCTCGTAACCGCTTTCGATTATTGTTTATTTCTATCCTTTTTTTTTTCTTGAGTGTAACAAAAGTTACAAATTTAAAAACAGAACAGAGGATTTGGTTCTGATCTTTGTTTTTTTCATAGGAAATGGCGTCTATAGAAAAGAATCTCAAAGTTTTTTCCAGAGATTGTTTCAACAGCTGTTGCGCATTTCCTGTAGATGATAGTGGAGGTAACGAAGATGGGAAGAGTAAAGAGGTTCTTGAATGTTCTTCAAGATCCTCTGTTTTTAAAACAGGGGAACCTCTGCTGATTCCTTCTTCGAACCCTAATCCAAATTCTTATCCACTAGAGAACAAGTCCAATCTGTTTTGTAATCCGGGTCAACCTGAGACCTCGTCCAGAAATGGTGTCATCATAGGAGCTTCTTCTCTGGTTCAGATTTGGGAAGCTAGGTCGCAGCAGTCAAGCTCGAGTCTAAGTCAATCGCTAATCGATAGCAGGACTAGTTCTGGATTAAGTCTGTCAGACATTTCAAACTCGAGTTTCTTTTCGGAGTTTCTCAACGACGAGGCTAGAAAAAGCAATGAGAGCAGCGGTGAAGAAATAGACTGGTTTCCTCAATCAGACATGAATATTGTTTCACATTCTTATGAGAATGATAGAGAAGGAAGATGGTTCCTTGAGTTGGCTGCTTGTACCCCAAGGGTCAGAGGACGACCAGCAAGCGAAGAAGTTTGTAAGATGATTTTGCGTGACCGAGAAAATGATCTCGAATGGCTCAGTAATCGCAACGCAGTTTCAAAGTTCTCACCTCGTGGATGCGGGCGTCTACAGGTACTTTAATTTTATCATAAACTGATAATTTGATTATTACACTTTAGACGATATATGTTACTTAAAATGTGCTCCCCCTTGTTATGTAGTATATGCTTAGAATCCAAAGTTTGGAAAGGTGCATTGCCATTCAAGAAAGATATCAGTCAAAATCAGCGAACTCCGGTGTAATCCAATCTTCGCGAGGATCTAGTGTGATGAATCACAGGTAATGATCAGCTATCAATATTGTTCTTCAGTTATTTTGAACTTCTAAAAGAGGCTAAACCAAACTATATGGATTCATCAATGTAATCAAAATGCAGAGTTAGATTTAAAACAAATACTCAGAAAGGATCTTGGGGACATTTGAATAGCGCGGTAGAAGCGAAAAATTTATCTAGACCATTATCTTTTCGGGTGAAGAGGGTGTGTAAAATGGCCAGCAGAACAGAAGAAGAGAATGTTCTTCAAGAAACAAGGGAGAGCGGTAGCACAAGGGAGAATCAGGACGCTTCTTATACGCCGAAAATCGCTAAGAATCCCGTCTTGACTGAAGCTGCAAGAAATAGGAAAGGTCTAAACAAACCTGAAACTGAGGGGAAAGTTACAGAAGAAGGAGAAAGGTTGAGAAACGCGATTGTGGAGGAAACTGAAGAAACGAACAAGTCCTCTTCATTGAGTACTGCAGAGAAGGTGAATATTTGGGATTCTAAGGAGAGAGCTAATAGGAGAATGACTATGGGGAAAGCTAAAGATGAGGTAATAGCTGCAAGAAGAGTAATTGATGTGAAGACTGTAGAGAGAAACAAAGAAAGGCGAAAGAACGAAGAAGTTAGTACTATTGACAAAGGAAAAACCGTGGAGAGTGAGGAATATAGAATTAACCCTCCAAAAGTTACATCAGTGGTATGTTTGGATAGAAGTAAGGAAGAAGAAACTGCAAGTCACATATTTAGAGAGAGCGGTAAAGAGGAAATTTTATTACAAAACGACAAAGAAACATCGAAAGCCGAGAAGCAAGAAGCATTAGAAACATTGTCTCTGATTCTTGAACCACCAATATTTCCAAATGATTGGGATGAAAGTGAAACGGAATATGAAGAAAATGAAGATTATTTTGGAGAGAATACATTGTATGATGATTGGATCAGGGATATATCGCGGCCACGAAGTTATTGGGAAGCTCTGAGGAAACAACGGGAGGACGAGGTTATGAACAAGAATGCAGAGAAAGATGATTTGCAGAACATGATCAATACGTATGTTATGTGATCAATTCTTCATTTTTCTTTTTCAAGAATAGCTTTAACAACATTTTGATGTTTAACGAATGTGCTTTGCTTGTGTAGAAGGACCGTTTCTACCTTCCTCGCAGGTGATTTTCGGAAAAAGATTGATAACATCATGATCTCATATGTACAAAAGAGGTTAGAAGTAGAAATCATTCTTGTAGAAGGAGAAGAAGATGACGAGGAGAGTTTGGTTGAGTATTCAGCAAGGTACCATGAGAACCTAGAAGAAACTGAAACAGAGAAGGTAGATCTTGAACCAATTACTGTAAGTGATAGTTTTAAACAACATCTCTTGCTCGTTACTACAATTTCCTTAAACCCTAAGGATAATCAGAATAGCTCCTCTGTGAGTTTGTCTCTGTTTTGCTATGCCTTTTCTTAGGTTAATAGGGCTACGTGTTGGTGAAGTAACACTTTTATGGCTAACACAGGAAACACTTATGATATGTGGTCTCAGACAACAAATCAAACAGCTTCAAAGAGAAATGCTCGAATCAAACAGCTTCAAAGAGAAATGCTCGAACTACAAAGTTTAGTCAAATCTTGCGTTGAAACACTTTCTGGTTAGTAAACGTTAAAAACTATTCTTGATTCAATTAAAAACAACCATCAGAATCCTCCATTGATGATGTAACTATAACTAGGAACTATATCAAACTCAGTTTCAGATTCTCTGGAAAGAAACTGTTCTGTCTGCTTGGAGATGCCTATAGACTCGCTTCTATATAGGTACGTTACATATATGTCTACTAATAAACCCTAGCTAGAAAGCATTTAAAACGCAAACGCTGTAATAAAATGGCGGTTTTGTTTCTGCAGGTGTGGACATATGTGCACTTGTCTGAAATGTGCTCATAAGCTTCAATGGAGTACTAAGAAATGTCCGATATGTAAGGCTCCAATTATAGATGTCGTGAGGGCATTTCTTAATTCTTAGGGCACAAGAAACAAAAAAAAAACTTCTAACTTATAACTTCGAAAATTTAATTTGGGTATTGTGAAACAATCAATATGTATTATATGGGTTTCTCTAATGGATGATATGATATTATGTAATCAAATTTATTAATGTGTTTGCCAAAATCGTTGCAGGAAAAAACATGAAAATGAATATTATATATATACATATGTGTATTCAAATAATTTAAGGGACCCTTTTGTAACGACTACTGATAGAAATTGGCTAGAGACAAAGTTTTATAGATTGCCCAACATTGGTTGGACATATCTCTTGAACAGTTTCTTTCGTCCTACTTAATTTATATAATTTTCTCCTTTTGTCCATTATACGGATTTATATTCGGAATACACGTACGATTTATCGATGTTACTATAATACTATATACATGCTACATTATCATGTTCACTAATGTACTGTATAGATATGATTTTATAATTGAAAAGTTTTGGAAAATTTTTATTGGTAAAAAAAACTCTAAGAATATAAAAGAGATCAAACCGATTTGAGTAGCAAATTATGTTCTTTTTTCTAGAGTAAACCCAAGGTTAAGGTTTCTGATATGGTTTTTGTGGATAGAATTATCTTTGACTTGTCGATCCAACTCCTTATTTACATTTTCAGAAAGTCAATTATTGAATATGAATTTTTCCCATTTGCTTTGAAGAAAAAACTTGATCTTTTCTATATTTTCTGAATTTTACATTATTTCTCGATCTTCTCTTTTCTAGGTCCGTTTTGGACTAATAAATACTGAATTAATCGATCTTAGATTCTAGAATTAGATTCTTTATCGAGTCTAGCCCGAAATGTCAACTGGTTCAATCATGATTTGAATTAGGTTAACTAGATGGTGCTAAACCACTCTGTTACAATTACCATTAAAAACATGATTTTTTAGACCCACTTATAAACCAAAACCAGACCAGCCACATGAAATGAAAGTGCTCTTCACATCTTTCTACAATATAGATTATAAGTTTACAATCATGCATGTCTATTTATATAAGTATCATTATCAATACATTAAAGAAAATACAATGATATAAGTATATGAGCAACAAAAGTTGTTTGGTCAGAGAAAGGAAAAAAAAGAAAATGAAAAAGCTATTAAAAATAAAATAATTTTGTTAAATGTTAAATCAAGTCTCACAAAAAAATTATCTTATTTTATATATATTTTTTTTTCTATGGTTTATTCATTAACACATGGGATGTCTCCTCCTCGTGATTCCATTTAAAAGAATCACATCCCATCATTTTCATTTTTCTTCTTTATTTCCTCAAACCTTTTTGTAATATTTATCTTCTTTTATATAAAACATCAAACATTTTGTAATGACAATTAAAAAAGAGATTTCGGGTTTATTAAGAAATGATAAAAAGAAGAAAGAGTTGACGTTTGAAGAGACTTTAGTTGTTCGGTTGTCATACTACAAAAGCTTTAAACATTATTACCTTTTTCAAGACCACTTAATCAATATCTTAAGTATTCATGTGATGTGTTTCTCTAATTCTTGATCCCAAATAACAAGAAGATAACACATAGTTATATATCATCCTTAAAAGCTTTAATTATTATTTAATTTTTGAAGGACCATATATGTAGATAAAGTCTTAAATGTAAGCTTTGGTTAGCTAAAAGATGAGATTCCACAGAAAAAATAAAAGCTGGAAGCTGGTCCATTGTTACACAGCTTGAATCTTGGGACCAATTTCATATTTATATTCGTATGCCAATGCCATCTCTTTTTCTACTTTATCATTTTTATGTATTACTATCACTTTAGAACTGTACTAGTTTTCTTATTCTAGATAAGTGTTTTGTCATAATGTGTCTTCTATGTTTTAGCTACATGACAGTCGCAATGTCACTTCTTCTTAATTGTTAACTTACGACCTTTCCTTTGTTTCACCATAATTAGTATCCAATAAAGTAAGAGAACATGTTATGATTTTTATTAAATACTTTAAATTGATTTTTTTATTAATTAGATTCGACGTAAACTACGTTAAAACCAAAAACGACACTTATTTTGAAACTAAGTTAAAACGATTAAAGTATTTTTCTACTTATAAAAGTTGAAACCGATTTGGTCTAAACTTTAAAATTTTAGGAGTAAATAGCTACGTAATTTTTTGAAAATTTAATTTGTGATCACTCTTTTCCAAAACTTGTCTCATTTTTGTTTTCATACGGAAACACTCTTGAATTGACAGAAATTTACTATTCACAATCACACGCAAAGAATATTTTTTCTTGTGGATGAACATTGTTTGGTTGATTTGGAAGATCTATCTATCCCCAAACATAGGTTTAATAAATAAGGGAAAACAACAAAAGAAGAGAAAGATTTGATTGGGAAGAAGCAAATTGTCAAGCAAGCTGGATCTTAAATGAGAGGTCTCTGTCAAAATTAAAATAACTCAGCAGCACTTGCAATATTAACAGTAAAGGCAAAAGTGAGAGAAGGACCTTTCTTTCTTCCCGCTGACAAATTGGTTAATTCATCATTCATAATAAATCATCACACAAATAATACCATAATAGCATAGATATATTGAACAAAATATTTCTCAAAGTATAAAACAAGAACCTATATGTAAAAACAAATTAAATAATAGATTTGGTGTACCCATATTTCAAAGTTTAAGATTTCTGGCAAAACCTCAGAGGTCGTCGGTTCGAGTAGCGCTTGAGAATAAACTATATAACATGCTCTGGTTTCGGGTCTGAAGGGATGTATGAGTTTCGACCCAGAACCTCTTTGATTATTCAGAACAAAAAAAGATGTATATATAAACCATAAATTCCTATAAAATACACATAAAATCACATCGAAAGATTCAAAAAAACAAAAATTAACATTATAAACGTCTTTCAAAAATATCCTTCAGAGTACGACTTATTTATGAATGCCTTTAAGAAAAGATTAAAACTTTTTTTTTGTATTGTATGATTAAAGAAGAGATTACTAATCTCATATTAAGAAAGGTAAAATAGAGAAACAATATTTACATATAAAATATGATGCGGGTAAACATGAACACTTCGCGCTAACTTATCCGATTTAACATTGACAATACGAAAAAATCGACATGAAAATCTTTTAAAACAGTTTCCAAATAAATAAGTTGGTTGGGAATAAAAAAAAATATGTTAATAATATGTCAACAATTCATCCATAAAGAAGATAATATCAAGCAATTAGATACAAAAAATACAGTGGAGAAATATTAAAAAAAAATGAGATAAGGTAAAAAGAAAAAAAGAATGTGGTGTCTTTGTCCTACAATGGTGACCCAAGAATAGCACTTCCCTAAGCCATAGGCTATTCTGGAATTGCATTACATATCTCACCCCACCATGTTCCTAAAAGAAACCCACTTCTCTTTCAACTCTCCCAAACCCTAATTAATTTAAAACCCTAATTAAACACAATTCAATACTCTCTTGTATCCAAATTAAAAACCTTAACTAATTAGTGTGCTTACATTAAATATGAGTTGTCCACTAGCAATTATTAATTTTTGATACCAACCCCACAACTCATGATCATCCTCTTTTTCCCCATATATAAAAACCCTTTTAGAGATCTCAACTTTGTTTCATCCCATTTTATCATATCATCCTTCAAGAACACAAAAGCTAATATACGTACACACACAAACAAAAAGATGTGTTCCTCAAAGTTAAAGAACCTGACCCAAGAAAACATTTCTCAGATCAATGGTCGTCAAGTTCTTCAACCGAAATCGAACCAAGTCCCAACATTAGACCGACGTAACTCACTCAAGAAGTCTCCTCCTAGTCCCAAGCCTTTGAATTCACTTGCTTCAAAGATACCTTCACCAAGACCAATTTCTCTAATATCTCCTCCTTTGTCTCCTAACTCAAAATCCTTGAGATCAAAACCGGCTGGTTCTTGCAAGGAACTACTTAGGTCTAGCTCTCAAAAGTCTAGACCGGTGAGATCGCCAGAGAACAGTGATGGTGGTTGCTACAAAGAGGTTGTTTCCATGGCGATTGTTCAGAAGCAGCCTGGAAGTATTGCAGCTGCAAGAAGAGAAGAGGTTGCAATGAAACAAGAAGAGAGAAAGAAGAAAATATCTCATTACGGTAGGATCAAATCCGTAAAATCGAATGAAAAGAACTTAAATCTCGATCAAGAGGAGAAGAAGAAGAGGTGCAGTTTCATCACTACAAGTTCAGGTCTGTAAAAGTTACCTTGTTCAACAAGAAAACCTAATTTTCTTTTCTACTATACAAAATTCAACTTTAACTAATATGATCCAAAATCTTGATTTGTTTCAACAGATCCAATTTATGTCGCTTACCATGACCAAGAATGGGGAGTTCCAGTTCATGATGACAAGTAAATAAAATTTTCACTTTTCTAAAATTTATAAAAACCAATTTTTATGATTATCAAAACTAATTAAAACCAACCATTTTTTTTATTTTTTTTCAGGCTACTATTTGAGCTTTTGGTGTTAACCGGAGCACAAGTCGGATCAGATTGGACTTCGGTTTTAAAGAGAAGAAACACTTTAAGGTAAAAAGTCAAAAATCAATTTTTTCTTACTTTCTCTAGTAAAATTTTGTTTGGTCTTACTCTATAACCTTTGGTTTTACAGAGAGGCTTTCTGTAATTTCGAAGCAGAGTTGGTAGCAGACTTCAATGAAAAGAAGATACAATCAATAGTCAACGACTATGGCATTGACCTTAGCCAAGTTCTTGCAATTGTTGACAACTCTAAACAAATTCTCAAGGTATATATATATATATATATATATATTAGTTTGGTTTAGTCATCACAAAATATACAAATAGTAATTAAAATTGCCAAATTCATCTAAAGTAAGATTTGTTATCTTATAGGTTAAAAGAGATTTAGGATCATTCAACAAATACATTTGGGGTTTTATGAAACACAAACCGGTCACAACAAAATACACATCATGCCAAAAGATCCCGGTTAAGACATCGAAATCAGAGACCATAAGCAAAGACATGGTTCGTCGTGGGTTTAGATTCGTTGGTCCGACGGTTATACATTCTTTAATGCAAGCCGCCGGTTTAACCAACGACCACTTGGTCACTTGTCCGAGGCATCACGAGTGTACGGCCATGGCGGCTTTATAGGCAAAAGAAAAGTTCATTGTTGTTGTTGTTGTTGTCGTCACATTGGCTTTAGTTTTTATGTAATTAAAATAATATTGATGTGTTATTTTATTTTGATTTTGTCAACATTGTTATAGTGTACTATATATATCTACTACCATGTGATATTTAGGTTTGAGGTCCTAACTTTAGGTATTGATATTTTTTGTACAAAAGCTTTTGTGTGTATGTGTATGTGATTTTGTGTTGAATTTTAATATATATGAGTGTTGGTATATTTATTTTTAGTTCGTTTAATTGTTTTTGTTGAGGTTAATGCTTTGTGGGATATGGGGAATAATGTAAAGAAGAGAGATCCCACAAAGCATGTGCTATATAAAGTTGGGAAGCAATGTCATGTGTTAGATTATCAATGAAACTTTATATTTTTGTGTTATTTTTTTAATTAGATGATAACAAATTTTATTAGCTTTTGAGTTGGAAGAAAATTATGAAAAGCAGCTTTGTTAGCTGTATACCCCATCTACTTCACTCAATTTTGTAGTTCCATATTAATAATAAATAATAAGCTTAGTTATCTTATATTATAATGAATGTTAAGTTATAGTTAGAAAAAAACATTAATGCTAATTTAAATTAAAAAAAAACACTAACAAAAATCATTTTTAATTTGTCTTACTACTATACAATGTTATATGCCGCCTTCATACTTCATACTCTGAATTGTGTGTGTGTAATCTATTTCATTATGTATTTTTATAGATATGTTTGAGACAATTTTATCGATATGTAATGGTTGTTTGGTGAATAATTATTTTTTACTTTATTTTAATTCATGCATGTGAGGACACATTTACCTCCTCAAGAAGTCTGTGGGACGAAATGCAAGCTTGAGTTAGATGGAGATTTCCTTTGCAAACCCCCGATCATCACCATGTCGATAAGTGGTTATCTGAAGTTGGAATACGAACCATGACCGGAAGAATGGAAGAAAAATTATTGGTTTCCTCTGTGATATTGCTTTTAAGTTGAACTTTTAAAGTAAATTTTTGGATTTAGTTTCCTTTTTTTGTGTTAAATAGTGATATTCCTAATGACCCATCAATGGAAATGACTTTGAAAGTAAAGAAAAAAAAATTATAACTAAGATACCTATTTTGAAAGAAGAAAATATAAAAAAGCTGGACTTGAATGAAATAAATGCAAAAAAAATTATGGCCTTTGTAAAAAAAAAACTAAAAACTCTAGTCATGGAGGATAATGATGACACATAATTACGTAACTTCATCATTTATAGTCCATAAAGCTAAGTTAAAATCATTATCATGGGAGATCTAATCGATTGCGTAGTGCACAATTAGAACACATGTGTTTCACTTTGTGGTTTCTTTCTCATCGTTGTGGAACTAATCATAATCTAAATATTAGATCCATCCATTCTAAATGATACAATTACCATAAGCTTAACTTTGTAAACTATAGTTTTGTAACAACCCGTCATGTGGGATCATCCGCCATGTGGCACAACCCGCCACATGACATCCTTACATCGCTGCAGTGCATCGACCATAACCTCTCTCTTGTGGGCCCAAACTGCACATCCCACTTGCTCGCACCCTCCTGGCCCACCAGGTAGGTTATTGGTGCGACTGACGTTTCTCGAACCCAGGTCCTCACCCTTTAACAACCTTCCCACTTGACAAGTTGTTACAAGTTTTAAACTACATTTTAGCTTTCCGAAATCATCTTGTTAGACACAAAATAGAAAAGATTGTTATGTTATGGATTCCTTCTGTTTCTTTAGAACAAGACTCACAAATGAAAATGTAATAAACCATGCAAAGTATGTATAGTTAAGAAAATAAGGCCCATAATGGATTTGAACTATGTTTTCAAGGCCCATTATTCACATCAGCACACTTGGGCCCTGTTTCAATCGCTTAGGGCCCAGATTCTGAGAGAAGTGTCATATTTTTCTTGTTAAGGTTGCTACCTTTGGAAATGACAGGCCCATTATATATGTCTAGAATGTCTTCTATAACTCTTAATTACTTAGCGTAATTACGAAAATGAAATAATAACGTTACTATTACTGGGTTGTCAAAAGAAAATATAGTAATAACTCCTCGGTAAAAATAAAATAATACAGGACCAATCAGAATCCATGTAAGAAATGACAGGAAAAAGTACATAAATACTTTATATTAAAAAAAAAAAGAGTTTAAAATTATTTAAATTTTATGTCAAAACGTAAAGGATAATGATATGAGTAGGAGTAGTCTTCGAGATTGTGGAAACAGTAGCCTCACTTTTTTCGACCGTTTGCTAAAAGCAAAACAACTAATTCAGAAGATGACACGTGTCGTACACATGTTCGTAGGTGATGATGTGTAATACTTAGTTTTTGGCAGAGAGCGAAGTTCCCATGCGGCGTCGGTAAAAGGAAACACAAATTATTCGTTTTTTTACTTATATTTATTAATTTATCAAAAATCACTATTTTTTTAATTATTGCTGTGTATTATTATTATTTTTTCAATCCAACTCATTTTGGCTGCTTAAGAAAAATTACTTTTTAAAATTTCTTTCTCTTTATAAATACATAACATGCTGTTTAGCACATGTATAGTTTTCCTTTCTTTACTATATTTTAAAAAGTTTAATAAAGTTTCTTCACAAGAATTACATTTGAAGCCTTTCAATATTAAAATTTTTAAAACTCAACATAATAAATAATAACAATAATACATTACATATATACAAAAATATAGAGAATTATAACAGAAGCAATAGTTAATTCTATATATATATATTTTTTTCTTTGAGCAATAATTTTCACATGGCTATGTTTTTATACAATAAACTATAATTATCCATATATTTCATTAATATATTAATATAGATACAGTGTTGAGGCATAGTTTTTTGGGTTACATCGATTAATAACAATTAAGGATATATTTTAGTCTTATTATTTTGTGGAATTTAATAATTTAAAGTTTTTTCATAACTTTATGTTGTCCAATAAAGTGTGAATATCAGAATTTATAAATAACTTTTATTTGTAAAATTTTGCTACTTACTGCAATAATTATGAAAAGGAAAATTTGTTAGAAAAAGGTGTAACTTAGGTTTGTGAAATATACTCAAATAATTTTTTTGGTTTGTGTATTTTATTTTATTTTCCATTTTATTAGGAAAAGGATAATTCAATTAGCTTATTTCGTATTTGACATGTTATAACTGAATCTATCTTTAATAAAATTGCCAAATTAGGTTGTAATCTCTTCTTTAATTTAATAAATTATAGAACAAATAGAATTTTAATTTACTTATTTTAATACTTGTGATAAATTTATAGGTTTATTTATTTTTTCTAATCCAAATTCAAGCGAGTTTCAACATTTATCATTTGAACTCCAAGTCAATCACTTAAATTTCACAAATCTTTTGCTATATTCAGTCATATTCAACCCTGCTATTAAATTATTTACAGATAATGATTAATGTAAATGCTGAATTAACTTTTATGAAATTAACCCTGCTATTAAATTAAAATATTATCACTCACAAAACCATTAATTAGTAATTACTATTATTTAAGAAAAAGGAAACTTTTCATTACTGTTGAATTCTCTATCTATAAAAAAAAAATTTCCAAAAAAAACATTATAAATAGAGACTATTCCATATTCATCATTGTTAAATTAATAAATTCTCCAATTTTTATTTCTTCTCTCTCTCTCTCTTTCTCTTTCTTCTATTTCTCTGCTCTGTCGCTTCACTTTATCTCTGCTTCGTACGATTCAATCACTGAAGAAGACGAAGAAGAACAACTTCACAAAAAATGGCTAAAGAGAAAGACCAAACCACTAAAGACAAAAACCTCCTCATCTCTTTCTTATGGAACTTCTCCGCAGAGCTCAAACTCGTTTTAATGGCGTTACTCGTCCTCTCCACTTTAGCCACTCTCCTCCCTTTTATCCCTTCTTCTTTCGCCATCTCCGCCTCCGAACTCCGTTTCTGCATCTCCCGCATCGCCGTCAACTCCTCCACCTCCGTCAACACCAACACCACCTCCTTAAATAACGCCGTTAAAAACCAGCCGTTAACTCAAGAGACGGAGTTAAGTAACGGCGTTATTAAACGGACGTTTACTGGTTACGGCTGGGCTGCTTATAACTTCGTGTTGATGAACGCGTACAGAGGCGGCGTTAACACGTTCGCCGTCATCGGTTTATCATCTAAACCGCTTCACGTCTACGCTCATCCCACTTACCGCTGCGAATGGGTTCCGTTAAACCAATCCGATAACCGGATTTTAACCGACGGTACTAAAATCTTAACCGATTGGGGTTACGGTAGAGTTTACACAACCGTTGTCGTAAACTGTACTTTTCCAGCAAACGCTGTTATAAACCCTAGAAACGACGGAGGTACGCTTCTTCTCCACGCAACCACCGGAGACACAGATCGGAACATCACCGACTCAATCCCTGTCCTCACGGAAGCTCCGGCCACCGTAGATTTCGCTCTCTACGACTCAAAACTTCAACAAAAGTACGATTACCTCTACTGCGGCTCGTCTCTGTACGGGAACTTATCTCCTCAACGAATCAGAGAATGGGTCGCTTACCATGTTCGATTCTTCGGTGAAAGATCTCATTTTGTGCTTCACGACGCCGGTGGGATCTCAGATGAAGTGTTTGAGGTTTTGAAGCCATGGATTGAGCTTGGGAGAGTGACGGTTCATGACATTAGGGAACAAGAACGGTTTGATGGGTATTATCATAATCAGTTCATGGTTGTGAATGATTGTTTGCATAGGTATAGATTCATGGCGAAGTGGGTTTTTTTCTTCGATGTTGATGAGTTTGTTTATGTTCCGGCCAAAGAGACGATCTCGTCGGTGATGGAATCTTTGAAAGGGTATTCTCAGTTTACTATTGAACAGATGCCTATGAGTAGTCAGCTCTGTTACAACGGTGATGGTCCGGCCAGAACTTACAGGTAAAAGTTGAGTCTTTTTTTTACTAACTGGAATCTTTAAAGTTTTGATTTTTATGTGATTTTTTAGTAACCCATTTGTGTGTTTAAGCGTTTTTAGATTTGGATTTGTGAATTTTAAGCATCTGATTCTGTTAGGATGTAAAAAAGAGCTTTTTTTGATGGGAAGACTTTTCTCATTTCAATGGTGGTGGTGGTGGTCCATGTGAATGATGAGAGTTGTTTTCAAAGATTCTTGCTTTATTGAGATTTTCCAAATTTATGTAAACCAATTCGAGATTGGTTTTGATTTGATTCTTTGATGGGTGTGTGTGTTTGAGATTGTATCAGATTGTGTAGTCAAAGATTCTAGCTTTTTAGATACCAGAATTAGAGTGTGTTACAGTGTTAGCTATGTGTTCGTTCTTATGTTTGCCATTTTACTATTTAACTTGGTTCATTGGTGTTTGGATGATTGATATGTGATTGTGTGTTTGATTTCAGGAAATGGGGATTTGAGAAATTGGCCTATAGAGATGTGAAGAAAGTACCACGACGCGATAGGAAATACGCGGTCCAACCGCGTAATGTATTCGCGACTGGAGTTCATATGTCGCAGAATCTACAAGGGAAGACATACCATAGAGCGGAGAAGCAAATACGGTATTTTCACTACCACGGTTCGATTTCGCAGCGACGCGAGCCTTGTCGTCATCTTTATAACGGTACTCGCATTGTTCATGAGAACAATCCTTACGTTCTTGATACCACTATGCGCGATATCGGCCTCGCGGTCAAGACGTTTGAGATTAGGACGATTGGAGATCGCTTGATTAGGACAAGGCAATGAGAATACAAAAAGAGAAGAATGGTTTATAGAAGAGCTGATGTTTTCATTATGATGGATTGTAACGTAAATCTTGAGAATATAATTAGGCGAATGTAACAATTTTTATGACTTTTTTGTTTGTTTTTAGTATATTCTTTTATTGTATTATAGAAAAAAGGGTTCATAGAAGAATCATAGAGTTTCATCATACAGCTCAGATTCTTGGTATATAAGCATCTCTTGTGATGGGCTTAATGATATTTTTCTTTATTTACTAATATTTGGAAAGTGCTTTATGTAAATTAGTGAAAGTTGTTGTGGTCTTCGATGGATCTTTGTCGTCTTAATTAATCAAAACTTTCCACATTTTGTTTGTCATTAATACTCGAATATTTGTAATCAGTATGAGCATAAAACATTTGTTTAACTATGGTAATTGTGAAACTATTAAATATTGTGGGAAGCATAATTCATTACATTCTCCATCTTCCTAATTAATTTAAATTTACTCCATTAGATTTTGACTAGAAATGCATAATTTTTTTCTAACAAATTTGTATAGCTCTAAACCAATAATATGATATTATATTTTTGAATTTTACAATTCATCATCACTAAATAATAATTAAAATATTTAAAAATTTTAAAGTTTGAATAAGAACATGTACTTTTAGTTTATAGTAGCGGGCTAGATTTGTATTCAAATACTCTAAAATTTCATGTTATTTACTAATATTAATTTGACAAATGTTTCCTTATAATTTTATACTTTTAATTTACCATACTTAACTAATAAAGATAGCAAAACGAAAAAATATCTTTCATAAAAGATTAGATTAATTAGCGACATATGAAATATATAATAGCGGACTAGATTTCGTATTTAAACACTTTGAGATCTATTTTTCATTTACTAATAGTAATTCCGTTATTTGTTTCTGTAAATTATCATTAGTAACATTTTAATTTTCTACTTACCAAATTAGCCCTAAAGTCTTTAGTTTTCTTACCCAAATTTTTTTTTTCATTAGCTATTACTCAAAAGAATAAAGGTTAAATAATTTTATTTTGTTTTTGGGATGAAAACAACACAAGTGTACATAGACCCTACGAAGAGGGACCTTCCAAGTTTCGTGGTTGTTAATTGTCGCAAAAGGCTGGAAAAATGTCTCATCATCTCATTGGTACAAACCCATATCAAATGCTCTCAATAATCAATAATCATACACAATTATTCCCAAATCAACAAAATAAATCTCCTACAATTATTAGTCATTTTAATAGTTCCTAAAAGTATTAAAAATCACCAAACAAGAGATACGTAAATAGACACCGACGGTTCAGCATTTAATTCCATGCAAAAACAAGATACGTAAAAACAAAACTATAACACCATTTATACTAACCCTACCACTCATACAAATCTAGTAATTTTGTAATGTGATTGGAATATTTCTTATAATGGTTTTGTAATGGACGGACTTAAAATCATGTAATAACACATTCGAAAGTTGTCGGATACAACATTTTTAATAAACAGTCGAAACAACATGATCTTAGGCAGCTGTGATATTCTCTGCAAATCTTGCAGTTTCCATTTATATAAACCACTAGTTCTAGTATAATAATATTCGTCGTCTCCACCAAATACGAAAGCAACCACCACACGTACGTGATCTCTCAATAAGTTTCTATACAAATTGGGAGATAAAAAAAAAAAATATTTCTTGTAATATAAGTATATAACTAAGACAATTATATGATTCTATTTAATTATGTTCTTTTGAATGATCTCCCGATCGCAATTATATATTTATTATGAATTTGGACCAGTTTAAAAATAGGTTTTATATATATAGATACAACGTTGCAAAGGTAGGACCAAACTAGGTCGGCCAAAACATGTGTCGCTGTTAACTTTTGAGTCAATGGTTCTTCATATATAGGGCCAGACTCTAGCCAGACCCGAGCCTAATAAAAAACTTAACCTATTTTGAAACTGGTCTTTGATTAATTCCGATCCTGGCTAAACATCTAATACTACTTTTGAATTTGCGTTAATTAAAATGGTATACAATTTTTTACATTTGTTTTTGACAATTTACTTTTACAAATAACAAAGAAGTTTTACTTGAACCAAACTAGACAAGTCTACCAATACATTTTCGTTATTGAATTGTAGTATTCAACGATATGTAGTCAAAATGTTAGAGTTCTTGGATGTGAAAAAAACGATATTGATTACCAAAGAAAAATATATAACATGACTTTGGTATATTACATCTTATGTTGTAGTGAAGACTCCATCATCATTCAAACGGCTTGAGCATCTAAGAAAGCATTGAAATTCTTGGAGGCTTCTAACAACCGTGGAGAGATCGCGGGAGACGTCGGGTATGAAACGGGCGATGACGTGGAGAATCGAACCTGGCGCAGTGAAGAAGACTCCATTGATTTTCTGTTTTTCGAACCAGAAACCTTTAAAACACCTTTGATCTCTTTCTCAATAGGTTCCTTGTCGAACACGAAAGCCGCTGAAACCGGATCGTCATGGTCGTTATCGCCAGAACCACTTTTGATTAGCTCGGACGGTAAGTCATAGAAGTGATTTCCTCCTTCTTCTCCGCATGATTCCGAAGTGTATGAGCCGCAATCGAATTTCTCCATTGAAGCTCGAGCTGAGATCACTGTGGTGGTGGTGGTAGATTCTCTAACTGAGACGGTTCTTGAAACGGTAATGGTCGATGATGATGATCTCGTCGTGGTGGTGGTTTGGGTGTAGGAAGAAGAATCATCTTTCCGTGATGATCTGACCGGTTTTCCTTTACCGAAACCGGGGAGGTATAGACAAAGAGCGTTGCATTTGAACCCGTCTTCTAATGTATTATTATTGCTGATGCTCTTGTTCGATTCGGTTTTGATGAAGAAAGAATTCCTAATTCCGCTGCTCTTAAGAGAGAGTCTCTTGCTAGTAGCCCCACAAGATTTGCTTCTCTTGTATGACGCCGAAGATGGGTCATGTTCCTTGTTCTTGAGCGACCGCATCAGACCCGAACGTTGTCTAGGAGAAGCAGCAGTTGAGTTTGGGAGACTACGGCTCACATACTTAGTCTGCACTGGCTGCAACGGAATAGGCGTAGGCGAATCTAAATCTCTAGGAGGTGACATAGCCGGTAAGAGAATCATATCGAAGCTATCGTTCCTTCTCAACGAACCTGACAAAGACAACGACCTGATTGATTTCGGGTCCATCGATATCTCTCTCTCGGATTGCATCATACTCGTTTGCTTGACCAGAATCTTCTTCTTCGAATCGATTCTGCTTAGAACTTGCCAGTCCTCACGAGTATTTTCGTCTCTGAAGCTAACCGTTGGCATAAGAACTGCAGCCACCATTTTATTTTCCGACCTGAAATGTTGATTAGTAAGAAGAGAAAATGAGAAATGGCTAAGTATTAAGGCTAAAGAGATGATAAATACTTATACGGAGTCACAGAGAGTAAGCATGGACTGCACGTCGTCTGGTGGCTTATAGTGGCTACACTGAGTCATGATTTGCACGTCCAGCTTTTTTTCATTTCCTGCGTATTAGTCTCAGCGAAAAGGTTATTGACTTTATTACATAAACATAAACAAATAATATAAAGTTTAAATTATTTAACATCGTTGACATGAGACTCTTCCCAAGATTGAGACAATATCTGATTTTGATAGATATGCTCGCACGAACCACACTTATTATAATATTACCAAAGGGTTTGTAGTAGTTTACCTGAGGTTTGTGCAGACCACAAGCCGATGAATAAGGAAGAAGATGATTAAAAAATTGAAATTTATTTCATGATCTTAAGTTACAAAACATCAATGATGGGTCATTGGTGGTGGTGTGCAAACACTAAATGGATTTGACTCTACTGAAGGGAATTGTAAAACAAGATTAATACAACAGAGATACCGATGATAACTGGTAAAGCCGATACAAAGTACAACGCTCCATAACCCTGCAACAGATTAAGAACAGAGGCAGGAGAAATATCAATCAGATCCCAAGTTACAACACAAAATGTCAACTAATGAACGCTGGAAATGTTATAAAAGAGTTATGATTTGTAGGTAAAATTAGTGGTCAGTGAAAGCGTTGGAGAGAGATTTGAGAACAAACCGCGACTTTGGTTACTACTCCTTGTTCATCATCGACATCAGCTTCTTCAATTGCAGCAGCTGAATCCCATTCTATATTGAGTCTCTTGGCTGCTTCTTTTGGATCTATCCCGGTGTCTGTGGACTTAGCATACATTGATTTTCCTCGCTGCTTCTTTGAAACCTCAACCTTTTACAATAGAGAAGATAAATCCTTAAAACAGAGTTCTGCTGAGCTAATTAACTAAATGTTTATTAGCGGCCACCGAGTTACACAAACAAAAAGGGATATCTTCCATCATATTTACACACTGATAATGGTATCACCACATTCAAATAAAACGAAGATATGAAAAGTCTTGTACTAACAAACCACTGCCACTTGGGATAAGATTATCCAATTCATTAGGCTTCTATGTTTCTGCTATGTTGCATGTGTATTATAACTAAGATTTTCTTGAGAAAGAGAGATTGATAAATAAATGTGCATGATTTCAATGGATGCATCATGAAATTTGGGTCTATATGGCATATAGGATTGGTTTCCTCATGGATTTGAATTGCCTAAGGCGAAAAGGTACCAGATTTTCTCTACCAATCTCACCTATATCGAAATACAATAGTAGGGGCATAAAGAAGAGGTACCTCTAAATTTGGCCAACGCATCATTTCCTCATGTAGCATCCGGAGAGTCACACGATCTTTAGGGATTTTCCCATCATTTACCTGTAAGAAGGCAAAAATACATTTTTAGAGATCTTAATACTAATGTCAAAAGAAAACTACTTCCAACACCAAATTGCCACACCCTTATGACTACACAAAGCAAACTGCTTAACTTTGTGTTGTGAATTTACACCACGACGATGGGTAGTAGGAATTCTATAATGTATTTAGTGTATTGTATATGCCTTGGAACAGTTTTGTATCAAAACTCATATTTTAGAAAGCCAGTACAATGTTACATTACAACCAGAGATGTAATCATGAATGCAACTCAAGAAAGGTTGGTTGAGCAGAGAACTTGCAAGTAACTGTATTTAGCTATACATCAGCATTGATGTACACTCCACACAGACCAAACCAACCTATAGAATTTTATGATACTCCAAGAACTGTGCCATATATGTATTCTGTCTCGCTCTCTGCAGAAAACTGATGTCTACTAAGGCTCTTATCTTACAGTTTACCTAAGCTTACTACTCAAGGCATTAGCTAACGGTACATGAATGAAGACCGATTCTATTCACTAATGGTAAGACAGTTTCAAAAAGACGATAATCACAAAAGTGCAATTTGAGACAACAAAGAGTAACCTGCTCCAAGGCTTCAGCCAATTCATCCCTACTTGGGGTTTCCGAGTCTTCAATTCCAAGCAGCCTCCTTCTTTCCACTTCCCTTGGATCCTCAATCATGATTGTCAACTTAACCTATAGAATCCAACAAAACACAAAGCTCTGACTTAATATCTCATCCTAAACACTAATCAAACCAACACAGCACCATGAAATTGCAGCTTTGCAGCAACCTAACACTGACAGAGATAAGCTTTACCTCACTGAAGATCATATCTCTATTCCTCCTAAGAAGCTCCAACACCTAAATCACAAACACACAAAACTCTTCAGGATAATTCTGATTCCAACTACATCTACAATTCAACTCAACTAAAATCTGAAAAACCAAAAAATTTCACAAACCCGTTTGATCTCGTTAACGTATTTGAGATCTTCAGGATCTGCTTCTCCTTCTTCGTACACATCTTCATCATCATCATTTTCTTTCTCCTTCTCTTCCTGCTCCAACGTTAACGGAACCGGAATACGAATCTCCGTAACGTCTCCTTTCTCCTGCTTAGCTATCAAACTACCGAATCTCCGATTCTTACTCCGCCTCACCCAACGATCATCGGAAACACCACTAAACTTACAAACAAAAACCGGAGACGGCGACGGAGACGAACAAACACCGTAACTCCGTTGGCCGGTGGCGGCGGAAGAAGACAAACTCGAAACACAGTACTGTAACGACGGCAACTGAAACATCTGCGTCACCATTTCTACTGCAAAACAAAAATTGTGAAAATTCCTTCTCTACAATTTCACAGATTTTGCATATCTGAAGCCAAATGAAGAAGACGATTCAAAGATCATCCAAACGTTAAAACTCAATTCGCCAATTTTGAATTTTTAGGAATTGAAGGATAGATGATACATACGAGTGGCTGACATATGTAGAGCCCTGCTACTTGGATAATATTATTGAAATAATATTTAATTATTGATATAATATCAATTAAAAATCAATTAATTAACTTATAAATTTTTGAAACCAAAAACAATTAGTAATACTGTAAAATCTCTATAAATTAATATTCGATAAATTAATAAAAAAATTAGTACCGATGTAATTTTAAACATATTTTGATAAAATAATAAGATAATAATATTTTTGAAGATATTTTGTAAATATATGGTCCCAATAATAGTATAAATTAGTAATGACATGAAATTATTATTATATATCTATATACATGTAAAAGTTTTAGTGAAATATGACTATTATGTTGTTTTGTTGTAATTGATTCTAACTAAATCTTATTTTTGATGTATATATTTTTTTAAACTTACCAAATTAGAAAAATATCTCTACAAATTAATAGAATTTTATGGTTCTAACATTATTAATTTATACAGGTTTTACCGTAATTTTAAAATTGAAAATGATTCATTTAATTTAGTGACCACAAACATTTACATGGAAACTATGTTCATGTTTAATTTTGATATGATAAAATCAAATCAAACCGAACTTATAAATCAACGATAATTATTTTTTTAAACCACACCTTTAGATATTAACCTAATTAGTTAACGTGTCTCTCTCATCAATCTTTTATCTTCTCAGTCAACAATCTCTTAAACCATTTTGCAGATTTCTTGAGATATCTCTTACGTCCATCGTCAAAATCCACGTAAACCAATCCAAACCGAACTGTGTACCCCGTTGCCCATTCATAGTTATCTAACAACGACCATGCAAAAAAACCCTTCACATTGGCTCCAATCGAGATAGCATCTTGAACCATCTTGAGATGTCGAGCATAGTAATCGATCCTCTCACCATCTTTAAGTAAAACTTTACCGGTACTAGCTTCATCTCTCCCGTTCTCGGTTATGTACATGATAGGATCCTTAAACTTGTATTTTGCATAGAGGAGGAGGTCACGAATCCCCTTAGGATATATCAATAGCCAATCCGATGCGGCCTTTGGACCTATCGGGACTCCTTCTCTTTCACCTGTGACGCTAGCACAAGGATCAGTGAATAGTGTAACGTTTTCGCTTGAGCAAGGAACATCTTTTGCATATGAAGATGAGTAGTAGTTGATGCCAATGAAATCATATGATCCTTTGAGCATTTTAGATTGCTTTGTGGTAAATGTAGGTAAGCGATCGTCTTTTACGTTGTTAACCATATCAACCGGGTATTTACCAGTCACAAGTGGCTCCATGAAATAGTCGAAAGTGAAGGCCATGGCTCGTGCCGCGGCTAACCTGTCCTCAGCTGATTCTGTATAAGGTAAGTTCCAACCCGCGTTTAAAGCGATACCAACTTTGCCTTTTTGAGACGTCTTATATTTGTTTCTATATACTTTGACTGCTTCTCCGTGAGCTAAGATGAGGTTGTGACCAACGATATAAGGCTCGGTTGCTCCATTTCCGGCGGTGCAATTAGGGTTTGTGAATTTTGAGCATCTTCCTGGAGCCATCACTCCCGCAACGTATCCTTGTTGCACCACTGTTAATGGTTCGTTTAATGTCATCCAATGCTTCACTCGATCTCCAAAATTCTTGAAGCAAATATCCGCATAGTCACGAAAATCTTCCACAATCTCCGCGCCTCTGAATCCTCCGTAAGCATCTTCAAGTGCTTGTGGTGTATCCCAATGGAAAATGGTGGCGAAAGGCTTAATTCCTTTGGACAAAAGCTCATTGATCAAGTTGTTGTAATAGTCAATACCAGCTTTGTTAATCCCTCCTTTTAGATTCCCACGTGGCAAGATCCTCGACCATGAGATAGAGAATCTATAGGCATTGAAGCCAATTTGATGTAATAAACCCACATCTTCTTTGTAAAGATGGTAAGAATCATCAGCAATAGATCCATTGCTACCATCTTTAATCTTCTCTGGATATTGTTCGGAGAACGTATCCCAAATGCTTGGTCCTCTACCATCTTCGTGAGCACCTCCTTCGACTTGGTAAGAAGACGTTGCAGCTCCAAAAATGAAATCTTTTGGGAAATCACTTCTTTTTAACTTAGGTGTTGAAGAGTGTTTCTTGGCAACAACTTCATTAGAAACCAAGAGAATGAACACTAGTAAACAAAAATATTTAGTTCTCATCTTTTACTTTCCTTTTTGATTGATTCAACAAATCTTGTTTTTGTCTTTAAGAAGATGAATAAAACTCGTATTTATAGATTAATAAAGATAATTGTTATCGGATTTGGTTATGTTAATCTATTAATAGAGAAATGAAAAGATAGAGATAGAATAACAAATCTTGTAAAAGGTTTACTTGTTCAATAATTAGTAAACAGATCATTCAAATGATCTTATCTAGTAGTTGTTGTCTTTCTACTGAGGTAAAAAAAAATAGCAAACACATTCGTAAATGTTTGTTTTTGACTTATTATTTCTTAATAACAACATCGATTAAATAAGTTACAAACAAAAACCCCTGAAAAAGTCAATTTATTTAAGGCCCAACCTCTAAGCCCAATACTTAGGCCCAATTGATGTATCGCTAAGCTTTTTAGCGGGAAAATGTTAGAGGGCGGCAGCTTAAGTTCCCGCCACAACGGACTTCGCCATTTCATTTTACCGATAGTGGAGAAGCGTTTTGCTTTCTGTTCAAACGAAATTTAGGGTTTGTTTTGTGGTGGTGAAGAGGGAAAGTTTCAGTGAGGTAGAATTTGAAAAAAAAAATGGAAGCTTTTGGTGGGTTTGTAATGGATGAGCAAGCGATTCAAGTAGAGAACGTCTTCCTCGAGTTCCTCAAAAGGTTTGCGTTTTCTGGGTTTTTTCAATTTCCCCTCAATTTCATTCACTACTGCCTCAAATTCGATTTCGAAGTTTAATTTTGATTTGGGTCGCTTTAAATTTGTTTCAGTTTCCGCTTAGATGCGAACAAGCCGGAGTTGTATTACGAAGCAGAGATTGAAGCGATTCGAGGCGGTGAATCAACGATGATGTATATTGATTTCTCACATGTTATGGGTTTTAACGACGCTCTTCAGAAAGCAATAGCTGACGAGTATTTGAGGTTTGGATGATTATCTAAAACCCTAGCTTTATTGAATTGAATTGGGTGTGTTTCAAAATTTGTTCTGGGGATTTTGATTTTGTGTGTGCAAAATTGGTTTTTTAGGTTTGAGCCGTATTTGAGGAATGCGTGTAAGCGGTTTGTGATTGAAATGAATCCTTCTTTCATTTCGGATGATACTCCGAATAAAGATATCAATGTTTCCTTCTACAATCTCCCTTTCACTAAAAGGTAATGCCTTTTTAGATTCTAGCTGATGTTTTTGATATTTAGAGTTGTTGTTATGAAGTTTTTGGGTGAATTTGGGATTGTGATGATGACTTTTGTTATCGATAATTTTGCAGGTTGAGGGAGCTAACGACTGCAGAAATTGGGAAGTTAGTGTCGGTGACCGGTGTGGTTACTCGAACAAGTGAAGTGAGACCTGAGCTGCTTTATGGGACATTTAGGTGTTTAGATTGTGGTAGTGTTATAAAGAACGTTGAGCAACAGTTTAAGTATACACAGGTAATTAGTGCTTGAATGCTTGGTTCTGGTCTTAGGAATTGTTAGCTTGTGTTCATTGTTTCACTTTTCTTGTTTGTTTTGCAATTTATGGCCTTGTCTTGATGCAGCCTACTATCTGTGTGAGCCCAACTTGTTTGAACAGAGCAAGATGGGCGTTGCTTAGACAAGAGAGCAAGTTTGCGGATTGGCAAAGAGTTAGAATGCAGGAGACTTCGAAAGAGATACCTGCAGGTTCCTTGCCACGGTCTTTGGATGTCATTCTGCGTCATGAGATTGTGGAACAGGCTAGAGCTGGTGACACGTAAGATTCCTCCTGCGTTAATTCTCCAAGTTATTTCTTCTATTTTCACAACGATATAGAGTAACATTCATTGTCCTTTTGGGTTTGTCTTCACAGGGTTATTTTTACGGGAACTGTAGTTGTTATACCTGACATATCAGCACTAGCAGCACCTGGAGAGAGAGCAGAATGCCGTCGAGACTCATCTCAACAGAAAAGCTCTACTGCTGGACATGAAGGTGTTCAAGGTCTCAAGGCTTTAGGAGTTAGAGATCTTTCGTATCGGCTTGCCTTTATCGCTAACTCGGTGCAGGTTTGTCAACTTTTTCAGTATCTGTCAAACTAAAACTTAAGTGAAATGTGTTGATCAATCTCAATGTTTATGTTTTATCTAGATTGCTGATGGTAGTAGGAACACTGATATGAGGAACCGCCAAAATGATTCTAATGAAGATGATCAGCAGCAGTTTGCGGTGAGGATTAGAATGAATTACAAATTGGATTTGAGACAATTCCTGTTCTGAAGGAACCTGACTTTGGTCTTTTAGCCAACCTCTTACACTCTCACATATACAACTAATATTAGAGGTCCTTATTTAAACTTTACAGGCTGAAGAACTAGATGAAATTCAGCAGATGAGAAATACCCCTGATTACTTCAACAAGTTAGTTGGAAGCATGGCACCAACCGTTTTTGGTCATCAAGACATCAAACGTGCCGTTCTACTTATGCTTTTAGGTGGTGTGCATAAGACCACTCATGAAGGCATCAACCTTAGAGGAGACATCAATGTTTGTATAGTTGGGGATCCCAGTTGTGCTAAATCCCAATTCCTCAAGTACTAATTCACATTGAAAATCAAAGCTGTCTTTTTTTTTCTTTTCCTTTTTCTGAAATCTGATACCTCAGTTTTGGTTTGTTAATTGCAGGTATACCGCAGGCATAGTACCAAGATCTGTGTATACATCTGGGAAGTCTTCTTCTGCAGCGGGGTTGACTGCAACTGTTGCAAAAGAACCCGAAACTGGTGAATTTTGCATTGAGGTAATTTTTGAATTGATCAAAACTAATTCCTTGCAAGGAAACTTTCTAATAACCAAAACTCTATAATCACTTTGAAGAATGCTAGCCTTTCTTGATACTTGTGGTTTCTACACTCTTGTTGTTGTTAATGTGATCTGACTCTTTAACAGGCTGGTGCGTTAATGCTTGCTGACAATGGAATATGTTGCATTGACGAGTTTGACAAGATGGATATCAAAGATCAGGTTAGTGAGCATCATTGGTTGTTACAGTAGAGGATTAAGTCTCCTAGTCAGTGTTTGACAAATTTTTTGTTACATTAGGTTGCTATTCATGAAGCGATGGAGCAGCAAACGATAAGCATTACAAAAGCTGGGATACAGGCAACCTTGAATGCTAGGACATCAATTCTTGCAGCAGCTAATCCTGTCGGTGGGCGATATGATAAATCTAAACCACTTAAGGTGAGGTCACTCTCAAAACTTAATCCAAACAGATCCATAATTTTCTTCCTTTCTTAACTGAAAAACTTTCATGGAAGCTTTTTATATCTAATTGTGGTTTGATCATGCTCTTTTCAGTATAACGTTAATCTTCCACCTGCCATTCTTTCGAGGTTTGATCTTGTGTACGTTATGATTGATGATCCTGATGAGGTAACGGATTACCACATTGCCCATCATATCGTGCGAGTTCACCAGAAGCATGAAGCAGCGCTTTCTCCTGAGTTCACTACTGTACAACTCAAGCGCTACATTGCATATGCCAAAACGTTAAAGCCAAAGGTTGTAGACTAACCAAAAAATGTTTTGATTGGAAAAAAGGCTCTTCTGTCGGAGGTACTAACATCTTTTCAATACCTCATCTGTTGTGGTGCAGCTAAGCCCAGAAGCAAGAAAGCTACTTGTAGAGTCTTATGTTGCTCTTCGTAGAGGTGATACAACTCCAGGCACAAGAGTCGCATATCGAATGACAGTTAGGCAGCTAGAGGCACTGATCAGGCTTTCAGAAGCCATTGCTAGGAGTCATTTGGAATCTCTGGTGAGATTATCCTAAACCATGTTGCCATGTCTTTCTTTTCTTCTACCAGTTGTCAATTTGTTTGATTTGGACACATTTTTTTCTTTCAGGTTAAACCAAGTCATGTTCTATTAGCTGTCAGACTGTTGAAGACTTCAGTCATCAGGTAATTATAAACATCTCTTTTTTTTATCTCTTAAATTTTCTCAAAACTTTAACCAAAAACATTCTAACTTGTTTGTCTTATCCAGTGTTGAGTCAGGGGATATTGATCTTTCTGAGTACCAAGATGCTAACGGTGAAAACATGGACGACACAGATGATATTGAAAACCCCGATACTGGAGATGAGGATCAACAGAATGGTGCAGCTGAGCCAGCCGCTGCAACTGCAGGTACTTGCACACTGTTTTTTGCTCTACTTTTTACTCTGACTCAGTTAAGAACCATAACTAACATCATGGTTTGGCAACAGAAAACGGATCAGCAGCTCAAAAGTTGGTGATCAGCGAGGAAGAATATGATAGAATCACTCAGGCCTTAGTCATTCGCCTTAGACAACACGAAGAAACTGTAAACAAAGACAGTAAGCAACATCACTCTTCAATTCTTCATACCATTCATCCTCTCTTTAACTCTTAAAACAGATAAATTATTCAACTAGTAACTCTTTTTTCTTCATTAGGTTCAGAATTGCCAGGAATAAGACAAAAGGAGCTGATTCGATGGTACATCGATCAACAAAACGAGAAAAAGAAATACAGTTCGCAAGAGCAAGTCAAACTTGATATCAAGAAACTCAGAGCCATCATTGAGGTAAAAATCGAAAACAACCTTGTATAAAATCCAAAGCAATCTTGTTAGTTAAAGATTATTTCAAATGATGTTTCTATCTAACACATTGTATGCATCTTACAGAGTTTGGTATGTAAAGAGGGTCACCTTATAGTGTTAGCTAATGAGCAAGAAGCCGCAGAAACAGAAGAAACAAAGAAAAAATCTTCACAAAGAGATGAGAGGATCTTGGCTGTTGCTCCAAACTATGTAGTTGAGTGATATTACTAAGTGTTAAGATATACATTTGTAGTAGTCCTCTTAAGTAGAAACCTAAATCCTTCATCATTCTGAACTAATTTTATTGGAATTTCATATTCTGTTAACTTCATCAACAACACTAAAGAAAATGATATTTTCCCAAATCCCGAATGGGTAGAACCGAAACCCGCTTGGGTACCCGATTGCCCAGGGCTACTCTTGAAGATGTATTGGATCTACAAAGTGAAGATAAAATCCTCACTTGATTACTTGAACTGCTTGATTACACAAGAATTTGAAACGTATACACTGTATTAGTAAAGAGTAATTAAAACATTTATTCGACTTATGTTAAGTTTATGAGATTAACACAAGACAATAACATTTCAAGTTTATGAGATTAACACAAAACAATAACATTTTTCAATGTGTTTAAGGAAGAAAAATGATATATAATCAAGTCACCAGAGTTTAAAGATGTATAGGATCTATAAGCAAAGATGATCACGAGTTGAACTGAGTTACACCAAAATTTTAAACATGGTAAAAAAAAGTTACCAGCCATGGATATATTAATCATATGGATTTTGGTTATGAATCATTAGGGTTAGTGTAAATAACCACCTCTTCTATCATCTTGTCCAACATAAATGATCTTTCTTGTGACCTTAATATTTCTTCATACTCTTTAAAAACGTACATCACAAATTGGAAGGAACTCTTCATGTGACCTTGAAGATTTTCCATGTAATCTGGTTCCCATCTACTCATATAAAAATGCAAAAATGATTACATAGAATTATGTTATTGGATTTTGAAATGCAATTGTATGAATCTTTGCAAGATGTGTACCTTTCAATACAATTAACAAGGCTTGCAACTTCAGGAATTGAACCATGTATATCGCAAGCATCATCTAAAAAAGTGATTAGTAAGTATAACTTAGCTGACATAATCCTGCCTAGTGAAAACTGTGGCTCAAAGTTGATCACCAAGGCCGCGAACCAACTCTCGACGGTTCTTTCTTTGATGTTACGTGGGAGGTTTAACGTAATGCTTAGTTCTCTCCACCACCTACGAGAATATATACAAAAAGATTAAATGTAACATCTCATAAAGAACAATAACCAGCTCTCTTAGAAAAAAAACTAGATCACTTATCTACATACATGGTGATAAGTTTTAATTCTTGGAAATAATGAAGCTGAAAGAACTTGAAATTGAGCTTAGCTAGTTTGAGCAGTGTTTCATCGCGGTCCTCTTCGTTTTCGTAGAAAGATATATACTCTCTTGCAACTAGGGCTTGGCTGTTCCGGTGCTGAGGTATATGAAGAGCTTTTTGTATAAGCTTTAACATATTTGGTGGGATCGCTCTTTGACACATAGCTAATGGCTCCAAGTGTTCTAGTGTGAAGCTCGACGCTTCATCCAATATATGATCATTCGTTGTCCCAAAATGCACAGCTTCATAGAAGCTTAACATACCTTTAACATCTTTGATTAAACATTCCTTGAACTTGCCGTTGTTTTCTTTAAATCTGCTGAAAACATCTACACATGCAAACAATATTGTTTTCATTAATAAAAATGTATATCAACAATTGTATGATCACATGCTAAAATATTCGTACGTACCTGACAACATGTTGTGACCGTATGTTCTAAGAACTCGAAACATGATTGAGATTGTGTACAAATCAGTTTCATCAGTGACCAACTCATCTATCCTTTCAAAAGCATGTTTCAAGGTCTCTTCAATCTCGTTCTGAAAATGGTAAGAGAGACCAAGGCTGATCAGCAAATGAATCGAAAGTATCTTCTTCTTTATTGCATAGGAAGACAAAGTGAATATGTCATCTCTCACTATAGGCTTTAGTACCTCAATCTCTCTTGCAAGAACATCAAAATCCTGAAAGTATATATATACACATTAATGGAGACAATTAGTATAATAAAATATATATATTAATGGAGACAATTAGTAACTTAAGCTTTAACAAACCAAAGAAATTTAGAAATGTCATGGGGGATCGGAGGCAATTAGTACCACTACACATAATAGATAACTAATAGACATGCAACACAAATTACCAATCTTTATATCATGGTCCTGGTAATATATACATTGAGTGTTATATATATAGTTGTTAATGGACACCGAGTCATTGATGGGAACACTGAGGAAGTGATCACCCCATTGAGTGGTATCCTGATCAAGATCATCTCTTCGTGTTTCCATAGTCATGAGATGAGAAAGACAGAGATGTGGTGGTCGTGGTGGATTATTTGCAACGAGGTAGACATATATATAGAGAGAAAATATAATCAAAGATACAAACCCTGACGATCAAATAGAACCGCAGATCACACACAACACAATTGCATATAGATACTGAAAACCAAAAAGTAACAAAAAATTTATACATCCCAAGTCTCTAAAGAGGTATGGGATCTACGAGCAGAAGGTTCATATATTCCATAAGTTTTCCTTCACGGTTGTTGAAAATATCATCCGCGGTATAAAGAACATTCAATGAGCGTCGAAAATTGACGGATTGCATAAGAATTCGGCGTGGCATAGTTGTTATCTTTAAGCACTCTTCGTTTACAATCTTGTTCATATCCCCAACCATCTTTTCAACTTCTTTACCGGCTTCTTCTTTTGTAACTATGTGTTCCTTCATGTAATAGTTGAGTGCATTTGCAGTGTAACCTTTTTCCATATCTTCCTGATGATATATATACAACCTTTTCTTAGCACAAATAAAGTATGCAAAGAGAAGTATAAACAATTATTTATCATTATTGTTATATTCGTCAAAGACATTATTCATTATCAGTAAAAACACATTTGGCCCCTACGAATTTTATTATAGGAGACTAATGTGGAATTTGGTTATAAAAGTTGACATTACCAAATTAATTGAATCAAACCTGAAACGAAAAATCAAAGTGACGAGGCCAAAGCTCAAGTTTTTTGAACCCAAAAGGAAGAGTTAAGGCTAGAACATAAAGATTATATATTTGTGAGCCACATTGTTTGAAATTTCATCAGTCTACTTGCTATAATCTTTTCTTATATATGTGCCCTCAAACAAAAAAAAAAAATTCTTATGTAAATCCCAAATCTTAACAAAAACAAACCAAAAGAACCAAACTCTTCCTGAAAACAAACACAAAAGAACCAAATTCTTATGTACCTCAAAGTCGGCTATGTCATCCATGAGACGGGCCATTGCACCTACAGTCTGAATGAGCTTTGGTCTAGATATAAGCCACTCAAAAGCTTCCTTCCTACCAATCTCTCCAATTCCCATAAATGAACATGCTATGGCTACATATGAACCAACCTCGGCAGCACCAGACTCTACATACTCATCAAAGCTAGTCACATGACCTCCCCGTGCCCATTTGACAAGTTCGAGATTTTTCCTTGCAAGTATCTTGAACTGCTAACCAAAAAAAAGTAAACATGTTACAACCAATTATTACCATCCAATGTATGTGGATTTTGGTGGCTGTAAGTATTCACCTCTTCTACCATCTTCTCCAACACAAATAATCTTCCTTGTGACCTCAATATTTCTTCATATTCTTTATAAAGATACATCACAAATTTGAAGGCAGTCTTCATGTGACCTTCAAGATTTTCCATGTAATCCGGATCCCATCTGTTCATATATATCAGATCAAATACTCTACTCATATTAATTTTTTCATAATAAATTTATTTTAATTTATACATAGTTATGGTTATTTGAAATTAATATTGATATAACTTTTTAAAATTAATGGTTAAAAATAAAAATAAAAAGATATCAATGACTAAGATGACATATGTCACAAATATAAGCGTCAAGTGTCGCATTGTGAGGCAAAGTTAGAAAAAATCTTGTCATATTATATAAGATATATATGGATATGGTACCTTTCCAGACAGTCGATCAAGCTTTCGACTTCAGGAATTGAACCATAAATATCGCAAGCGTCGTCTAGAAATGTGATTACTAAGTACATTTTAGCCGACATAATTCTCCCAAGTGAGAATTGTGGCTCAAAGTACATCATCAATGCTGCAAACCAAGTCTCTACAGTTCTTTCTCTGAAGTTCGCTGGAAGGTTTGATGCATGGTCTAATTCCCTCCACCATCTACCAAAATATGAAAAATATTAAAATTGTGCAGCTAGATTGAACCCTAGCTTTATTAGAAGAAAACCAGATCATTCACATATACATTGTGATGGTTTTTAATTCTTGGAAGTAATGAAGCTGCAAGAACTTGAAATTGAGCTTGGCTAGCCTGAGCAGTGTGTGGTCACGGTCCTCTACATGTTCATAGAACGAGATATACTCTCTTGCAACCAGAGCTTGGTTGTTCCGGTGCTGAGGTATGTGAAGAGCGTTTCGTATAAGCTTTGAAATATGTGGTGGGCAAGATCTGCCACCTGTAGCCAGTGACTCCAAGTGGCTCAATATGAAACTTGACGCTTCATCCAATATATGATCTGTCGTTGTCCCAAAGTGAACTGCCTCGTAGAGGCTTAGCATACCCTTGACATCTTGCATTAAAGTTTCCTTGAATTTACCATCTTTTCCTTTGAATCTACTGAAAACATCTACATTGAAATAAATATACATTTTTCTTAAATAAATGCACACATCCGAATTGGAAAAAAAAACATATATGAAAATAGTGAAACTCATCTAAAACTATTACTTACCCGACAACATATTATGACCATATGTTCTAAAAACCCGAAACATGATCGAGATTGTGTATAAATCATTTTCATCAGCGAGAAGATCTTCTATCTTTTCGAAAGCATGTTTCAAGGTCTCCTCGATCTCCTTCTCAAAATGATAAGAGAGACCAAGGCTGATCAGCAAATGAACCGAATGAATTGTCTTCTTCGTCGCGTCTTGGTCTCTCGAAGACAACGTGAATATGTTCTCTCTTACTTTTGGCTTTAACACTTCAATCTCTCTTTCAAGAACATCAAAATCCTGGAAGTTGATAAGACTCAAGTTCTTTATATATACACTCACATATATGATTTGATTATCAATAGATATATATAAATGGACTCACCGAATCAGCTTTAGAAATCATGAGGAACTGATCACCCCATTGAGAGGGTGGCAATTTTGCAAAATTTAAAAAGCTTTCCTGATCAAGATTTTTTACTGCTTCCATTTCTATCTATGTGTGTGTGTGTGTGAGAGAGAGATGTGGTGGTGGACAATTTGCAAGAAGGCAAAGAGATACATATAGAGAGCGGTGTAAGGGACGTAGAAGGATAAAGATATAGAATAGAAAAGATTACTCTAACTAATGTTTTTTAATACTTTGCCAACCAAAAACTTGAAAATAGTTACCAAAGTAGAGTACATTAACTAATGGTCCTCCACACGACTTACTGAGTACATTAGGTTTGGCAAATGCGCCAGTAGGTATTGAATGAAAGACGTACGGACGTTGTTCATTATTTAATATTTGCTTCCATTAAAAAAATAAAAATAAAAATAAAAGGGGAATGTAAATAGTTTAATATATATATATCTGTATATATCTGTATATACATTTTACCCCAATGTTTACATTACAACCTATGCAATTTCTCTATGCACTTTATATATATTTCTACAGAAAATATGCATAATAAAATATAATTTTTTAGACAATTTTAATTCAGTAAAGATATGTGGGTCAACTATAATTTGAATGCCCCTACCACTGTCTTCTGCTTCGTAAGTAAAAGTCAGCTCTTAGATTATACGTGTAGTATTTGTTTTTATAAGAATGGTTAATTAATATTATTTGAAAATTACTACTAGTAAATTTTGATTTTCACGGCAAGAAAATAATTATATTTTGATAATAAATTCCGAAATACTATACTAAAAACAAAATTAAGATTCTTTCACAGTAATAAGAGTAAGAAGTCAAAAAATAAATAAAAGAGATAATGACGTTCGACCTAACTAATAAATAAATTATTAAAAAAAACTTTAATTAACATATTATGTTATTATAATAATGTAATAATTATTATGATAATTTAGTCATTAACATACATTAGCGTTAATATATGTTGCTAACTAAGTCATTACCATTATTTTTTGTAAGAAAAGTTAAGTTTGAAAAAAATAATAATAAAGATGATGAAAGAGTAGAAAATTGAGAAAATAAATAAATAAAAAAGATGTTGAAATATTTTAATCCGTAGAGTAGATGTAGTGTTAGAATAATAAAAAATCAAGTTAATCAATTAGTAAAAAGTTAATAGTATTTAGTTAATAAAATGAATTTCATTACCAAAAAAAAAGTTAATAAAAAGAATTTTGTATGTATATATAATGTCATTTCTCTTCGTTTAAATTGAACTAAAATGTAAAGAATACGTGAAAATAAAATGTAAAGAATACGTGAACAGTGGGCTTGTCAAAGCGGTTTTATCTCGTAATTAAGACACCAGTTGCCATATCTTCTTCTTATTTTATTCATATGTTCATATGCTATTTTTAGTCAATGTTTGGTTGCTGTCGAGTTTTTTTTTTTTTTAATCAACAAATTGCATTGGGACGCATACTTCAGATAAGATCAAGAATGATTTTGCTATTTCAAGAGGATGGATATTTAAAGCCTTACAAAAGAACTATAAATTTGAGTGTTAAGTTTTTACAAAATAGTTCAAAGTTGTAAAGAAAAACAGTAAATAAAAAATCAATAACTATAAAAAAGCTGTAAAAAAAGAGAGAATAAAGTTTTTAGTAAAGTTTTTGTGATTGGTAAAAATAAAAATGATATTATTAGTACAACTTTTTTTATGTCACCAATCAAAGTCATTAGGGTTTAATTGGTAACATAGTCAAAACTGTACAAAAAAGTTATAAGTTGCGAGCAGTAAACTTTTATGGAATATTGTAAATATATAAAGAAGAGCGGTACATAAAAACTGTAAAAAAGAACAGAAAGTAAAATTTTAATAAAATTTTTAGATAACGCTTTTATGATTGGTAAAAATTAAAGATGTACAAAGTTGTAAAACTTTCTCTTACTCTACCAATCAAACCCATTATTATCATCTTCTATATTTAATTAATCAAAGGGGATGATATTTTTATTCTTTTCTCTTTAACTTATAACAACTGAAACTATATTAAAACAAATATAAAATCAGTCATGAAGTCGAAACAAAGTAAGTTTGATTCAATAAATTAGATGAAGGAAACTACATTGCATTCTCGATTTTTATATATAGAAGCAGACCTGGCCCTTGATACATTTTTAAGAAACTAATGTATTGGGCCTCCAAGAAAATTGACATTTTTGGTATGAAAATTAAGCCCCAAAATTTTTATTTGTATTGCAAAATTAGGCCCCATTTTTGACAAAGTTTAAGATTTGACCTTCATATTTAAATTTTATCTTTTTTTTAATTGCAAAATAGGTCTCATTTTCTAAAACTTTAAGATTTGGTTTTAACTTTTAAGTTTTATTTATAAAACCATTTAAAAAAATTGGTATTAGGCCTCATAATTGACAGGGCCGGCACTGTATAGAAGTTGCTCACATATTGTAACGCCCGTGTCTGGAAATCCGGGTGGTGTCGATCGACACTGTGGTTGGGTGTCGATCGACACTAGTAATTTTGGTTCGACGGTTTAAGTTTTAAATCGTCGGTTCAATTGAGGTTTTGGTTAGGGTTTAACCCTAGGTCACGTTTAAAAGAATAAAGGTCGTGAGGTGGCCGCTTTTATTCTTTTAAAAGGTTTCTAAGTTCTCTAGAGAGGTTTGTGAGGTTGGAGAAGTGTTCGGAGGCTTGTTCTTGGTGTTTCTGTCCTTGGGAAGATAGATCTCGTAGCTGTGGTGTTAGGAGAGTCCTTGGTTGCTGTTGTTGTGATCTGTTCGTCCTTGTTTCTGTCCTTTTGAAAGGTGAGTGCATGACTAGGCTGATCTAAGCAGTTTTGATTCATATTTTGAGTGCTCCTTCTGATTGATCTTTGATTTCTGTGTTTGTATGCTTGTCTATGGGATATGGTGTCTTTGTACGAGTCTGAGAAGGAGATAGATCAGGCCTGAAGTCCTGAAGTTGGTGGATTCGTCGATGAGAAGCGGCTGGAGCGATGTTAGGGTTTCGGTGTCGCTCGACACCAAGGGAGGGTGTCGATCGACACCAACTTTCTTTCTCGCAAGGATGGTCGCGAGTGTCGAGCGACACCAGCGGATGGTATCGATCGACACTGCTCGTCAGAACGGGTCATGTTGTGTTGTTTTGCGTTGTATTGGTGGTTGTTTGAATTATACTTGAATGTGTTCATTTCTGCTTGTGTGTATAGCCAGTGGTGGGATGATTGCCTCACTAAGTATTTATGAAATACTTATGCATCTCTTTCTTTGATGCAGGTAAAAGCAAAGTGTGATCCGTGGAATCATGGCAAGGAGAGGAGGATGATCTAGGCACTCATTGGTGTTTTAGGTTATTGTTGGATTTATTATGGTGATAGAATGGAATTTAGAAACATGTTAGGATGATCATGTTTTGGAATAATGTTTGGTTGAACTTGTTGGTTTAATGGAATTGTTTTATTGGATTTTTTTGGCTAAGTCTTCCGCTGATTAATATTGTTTGGTTTAATTGATTTAAATTATTATGTCGGTTTAGCTGGTTCGAATTAATTGGGTTAATCCGGTTTGCATGTTTAAAAAAAATGGGATGGGTTTCTTTCACATATGCAATGTCACCTAAATTGGAAAACCCTCATGTTCAGTTATGTAATTTTAATTTTGTTTGATTTTCTTATAAGTAAGTAATTGTACGTAAATTGTGGTGGTAGGAGTCTCTGTTTTCAAGGTTGGCTCGATCAGTCTCATTTTCAACTTTGGCTCGGGGCCAAGAGATTCTCAAAATAATGTACATGGGTTTCATAAACTCATATTATTAGGATATACTTCAATATATTCATACACTTTTGCATCGAACCCACTACCTATAACACTTTTTATTAATACTTAACCAGTAGAGTTAAAAGAGACTTGATAAAATGAGGGCCTAAATATTAATAATTATAACAGCGCCGCAAGCACATACTTCACCAGCTTGTGGCTTGGGCCGGCCCTGATATATTCAAAAATATATGTTTCTATCTAGAATAAGCAATTTGTATGTGTATAACCTGACTATGATACCATGAAGTTAAATGAATAAAAATGTAAAGTTGTGTTTATTTCATATGTTAAGACTTAATACTAGTATTTATACACATACAACTTGTCTATTTTAGATTGAAACATATCTTGGTGAATATATTGAAGTATATCTTAATACATATTAATTTTTTATATACTAATTGTACGTAAATTGTCGTGGCCGGAGACTCTCTGTTTTCTTGCTATTTGATTTATTATAAGAAAACACATATTAAGATTGAATAAGTAAATCAATATAAGAAAGAGAAAAAATAGAGAGTCGTGAATTTGAAAATCGAACATTTATCGTAGTAAGAAAATGTGATCAAACAAACAACACTGAATATAAAATAGAACCGTACGTAAATCACACAACACAATTGCATATCGATATTGAAATCTAAAATAACAAACATTTTATGCATCTGGAGCAGGCACAAGGCATAAATGGGCCAGAAGCAAAGTTCGCAAGCACATGCTTGGCTTGCTTGGTCTCAACGTCGTCATTGTATCCATCCCAAGTCTCTAAAGAAGAATGGGATCTACGAGTAAAAGGCTTATATATTCCTTCAGCTTTCCTTCACGGTGGTTGTAGACATCATCATTGGTATAGAGGACATCCAATAAGCGTCTAAAATTGACGTATTGCATAAGAACTCGGCGTGGCATTGTGGTTAGTTGCAAGCACTCCTCGTTTATAATCTTGTTCATATCTTCATTCATCTTTTCAAGTTCTCTACTGGCTTCGTCTTTTGTAAGTCCATGTTCTTTCATGTAATAGTTGAGTGCATTTGCAATATAACCTTTTTCCATATCATCCTGAAGATTGTATACCAAAACTTTCAAAACAAACAAATTATGTGAAAAGAAGTTCGTATTAAATTACAACATATATTAACTAGTGTTGTCGAAGACATAATTCATTATCAGTAAAGACACATATGCATGGGTATCTACAAATTTTTAGGTAAATCCTAACGCATGTAATATAAGTGAACACACAATACAAAATTTTAAAAATGAGCTTATAAGGATGAATTCTCGATTATTAATTTTTTTGGAATTTATAGAATTTTTTTTTATGTTTTATTTTATAAACTGGTCATGAAATGATTTTTTTTCCTGAAATTACAGCACATATATATATATATTTTTAATTATATTGGTTATCCAAAAACATTTGTTTTTCTAGTTATGTTTGGTTAATTTTTAATTATTTTAATAATATTTACGGTATACTTTTGATATAATCTGTGAAGTTGAAATACAATTTAAAACAAAACTTACTAATTAAATCGTTAGAAAAAATGTGTTGGTTAGAATTTATAAGTATTATATGCCATATTGGTTGAAATTTCATTAGTCTAGTTAGTATAGTAAAATTAACGAACACGGAAAGTCCCGAAAGCTAGTACGTACCTCATAGTCGGCTATGTCATCCAAGAGACGGGTCTGTGCACCTAAAGTTCGAACGAGCTTTGGTCTAGATATAAGCCACTCAAAAGCTTCCTTGCTACCAATCTCTCCAAGTCCCAAAATTGAAGATGCTATAGTTGCATATGTAGCAACCTCGGCGCCACCAGACTCTATATACTCATCAAAGCTAGGATCATGACCTCCCCGTGACCATTTGAGAAGTTCGAGGTTTTTCCTCGCAACTATCTTGAACTATACTTAGGGAAAAAATATACAAGCTACAACTTATTACCATGCAATCAATGAATCCGGGTTTTTATGGTCATGAATGATAAAAAAGTTTTGTAAAATAATCACCTCTTCTATCATTTTCTCCAACGCAAATAATCTTCCTTGTGACCTCAATATTTCTTCATGCTCTTTAAAAACATACATCACAATTTTGAAGGCAGTCTTCATGTGATCTTGAAGATTTTCCATATAATCAGGATCCCATCTGTTCTTATATCACACAACATTGGGGTATCAGGATCCCTACTACACTCATAATTAATCGGTTTTAAGATTTAGCCGATGAATCTTTGCAATGTATATAGATAGACATAGCTAATTAAGTACCTTTCCAGACAATTGACCAGGCTTTCTACTTCAGGAACTGAACCATAAATATCGCAAGCGTCGTCTAGAAATGTGAGTACTAAGTACAACTTAGCCGACAAAGTTCTCCCAACTGAAAATTGTGGCTCGAAGTACATCGTCAATGCTGAAAACCAAGCCTCTACAGTTCTTTCTCTGAAGCTAAGTGGAAAGTTTAATGTGTGATCTAATTCTCTCCACCACCTACCAAAACATGAAAAATAATTAGAACAATGCAGTTAGAAAGAACCCTAGCTATCATAGAAGAAAACTAGGTCATTCACATATACATTGTGATGGTTTTTAATTCTTGGAAGTAATGAAGCTGCAAGAACTTGAAATTGAGCTTGGCTAGCTTGAGCAGTGTATCGTCATGGTCCTCTTCGTGTTCATAGAACGAGATATACTCCCTTGCAACCAGAGCTTGGATGTTCCGGTGCTGAGGTATGTGAAGAGCATTTCGAATAAGCTTTGATATATGTGGTGGGCACGATCTGCGACCTGTAGCCAGTGGCTCCAAGTTGTTCAATGTGAAGCTAGATGCTTCATCAAATATATGATCTGTCGTTGTCCCAAAGTGCACTGCCTCGTAGAGGCTTAGCATACCCTTGACGTCTTGTATTAAAGTTTCCTTGAATTTACCGTCACTACCTTTGAATCTATTGAAAACATCTACATGAAACATTTTTCTTCAATATATTGATTGGAAAAAAAAAGAAACATATTGGAACTCTAAAAGATTACTTACCAGACAACATATTATGACCATATGTTCTGAAAACCCGAAACATGATTGAGATTATGTACAAATCATTTTCATCAGCTATCAAGTCTTCTATATTCTCGAAAGCATGTTTCAGGCTATCTTCAATCTCCTTGTCAAAATGATATGAGAGACCAAGACTCTCCAGAAAATGAATTGAAAGAATTTTCCTTTTGGTTGCGTCTTTGTCACTGGATGACAAGATGAATATGTTCTCTCTTACTTTAGGTTTTAATAGTTCAATCTCTCTTTCAAGGACATCAAAATCCTGGAAGTTCAACATGAAGTCAAAAATCTTTCTTTTCATATATATAAAGACATCAGATCAGAAAATATATAAAATAAATGGACTCACTAAATCAGTAATCGAAACACGGAGGAAGTAATCACCCCATTGAGAGGGTGGCAATTCCGTAAAACTAAAGAAGTTTTTCTGATCAAGATTTCTTATTGCTTCCATAGAGAGAGAGAGAGAGAGAGAGAGAGAGAGAGAGAGAGAGAGAGAGAGAGAGAGAGAGAGAGAGAGAGAGAGAGAGAGAGAGAGAGAGATGTCAAATGTGGTGGATGTCTTGGAAGAAGGTATAGACATATATATAATGATGCTCACATATGCAACGGTTATTACTTATTACTCAAATAATCTAACACATGTTTGTGTTAACTACGTTTAGATTCAAATATTTTGCTTTCATGATTAAGTATTGTTATCAATGATTAGTTTCTTCTTCTCGCATGCGCAATGGCAAATACTCAAGCAGTGGATTATTCCGTTTAGAGTTGTGGTTTCTTAATATTAAGACTCCGAATGGTAACCATACCGCACTACAAAATCGCGCCGCAACAGTGTTGTAACAGTATCAAAATATCTGCATATACATATATATATCTATGTATTTTTGTTACCATTCGAAGCCTAAGAGCATTTCCAACCATATGAAACTCTCAATAAAAAAATTATGATTATTTTAATATTTAGTTTAGTTATGCAAATTAAATTTTATATTTAAAAATAAATATGAACCAATATTAAGATTTGCGCATGTGTTGTCCTGAACTCAAGTGGAAATATAACATGGAGTGAAACATACATATGGAGATGAAGATGAGTTTGGCACAGAAGATGTCATCAGTTACCAAACTCAAAAAAAATGAAGAAGATGATTTTGAATCTTTGATATAAAAGATGACATGAATTAAAAAACAAAACTCTAATGTAAAACTAAATTAATCAAAATCCTTTGACCAAATTATTTCTTTTCAAAACCCTAATGATTAAGCTCGTGCATTATGAAAATACAAATTCAAGAATAATTTACAGTTAAAATCAAGAAACTGCATCAGATCACATCAAACGCCTAAGTTGCTTTCATAAAAGTGAAGCTAACGTGGATGTGATGAAAAGACGAGAAGGTTACTGACTTGGCAAGATTCTAAAAGATTATACGTAGAAATTTATAAAATATTATGTACAACAACAAAAAGAAAGGGAAAGGCTTGGCGAGTAAGCTAGGGTTTCTTGAGTCTTGCATATATATTCTATGAAGTCTAGAGACACTTTGAGCAGTCTAGGATAGTCATATACCTTTTTAAACTTTGAAGCTAAAAGAATAAAGCTTAGAAAGTGTGTTCCCAGTTTTCTGTAGATAAACTTTGAAGCTAAAAGAACAGAAAATTGTTTAGCCCTGTAGATCTGCACAGGTGTTGGTTGGTGCTAGATAGAGTTGAGGTCAGGCTTAAGTTTTTCTTCGGCCAGGTTCAATCCTATTCGGTAAAATAGGTTGTGTTAGAGCCTAAATAAAGTTGTGTTTTTTCTTTTTATAAAAAAAATAATTAATACAAATAAATTGAGAAACGTTGGTTTTGTGCTGTCCAAGCGAAATCAGCATATTGATCATCACCTAGCTCTGTGCCTTAGCACATCACATTATTCCACCTCCAAAAAAACATCAAAAGCCTAATGCTAAAAATATATATTTGTGAAAAGTTTCGTGACATACTAAATGATAGGTAATTAATATACTTCTTTTTATATATAAACCTAGCTATATTCTAGTTTCTTCATCTTTTTCCTTACTAAATTAGTCTGAAGGAATGATTTGTTTCCGCTATCACACAATTTTTTTGAGAAAAAGTAAAATATGGTAAAAGAAGTACATATAAAATAGCAATGAAGTTGAATTTTTTTTTATTCTCCATCATTTTCATTAAAATCATATGAGTAATTTACTACCTATGGGCTATGGCCAATGAATCTGACACACTCGGAAAATTTAGGCAAAACAAACACTAAAGCTACGTTGAAATCACTACAAGAAAACATGTTAATATCCTACCAAAATTCTTACAAAATAAATGGTAGGAAAAATTTCCTACGGAAAAACTTCGCATTTATTACGAAAAAGGAATGTGGTAGGAAAAAGGAAGATCATTTACCTTCGAGAAAATGTGTCAGAAAGTGGAAGGAATATTTACTACCAATTTCTTTTAAATAATATTTTTGTAGGAAACTGTGAAAGAAACAAAAAGGAAAGTGGAAGGAATAGATGCGGAGAGAATTTGGTAGGAAATTTTCCTACGAATTACCTTCAATAGGAAGGTGGAAGAAAATATCGTAGGATATCGGTAGATACATCGAAGGAAATCATTTGGTAGGAAGTTTGAAGGAACCAGTTTGTAGGAAATTAGTAGGTTAGTATTATATGAAAGAACAATATATATTTTGTTCTTTAAAGTAAATTATTTTTATTATGCCTCAATGAGTATTTTTATTATGCTTCAATGAGTATTTTTATTTAAATTCTTAAAGTAAATTAAATATTTTTAGTGTTATACTTATATTTAATTATGCATTTTAAACAACAAAAATTATATTTCTATTATTTTTCTTAAAATATATAGATATCTACCATTTTCCTACAAAATATTATTAACTTATATAATTCCTACCAAATTTAACCTAGATCTAATATTTATCCTCTTTCCATCACTCACAAGCCGCACAAACACCATCTATATCCAAGAACTTCGATATCTAGACTCTCTGTACGATGTCGTGAAGAGTTCATGAACCGGGTCGGAGAAATAAAGATAAGAAGCAAGAGTTTTAGGGATGGGAAAAGCCTCTGAGATTTACAGAGTTTGGAGAGAGCTTGGCTTCTCAGTTTTAGAGAAACAGAGTGAGATTACTTATGCTAGTTCCATAGTTTGGTCTTTTCAAGAGAAGAGCAGAGAAGGTGGGAGTTATGGAGGAATCGCGAGATATACTGATGTCAACGCTGATTGAATCTGGGGTTTTCATTCCCGGAGATTTCTCTTCCATCGGTGAATTTTCCTCGGAGGCGTTGGTATCGATCTGTGCTCAGTTGCTTAATCTCATTGACCCATCCTCGGCGTCGTTTTGCGATGAGCTCCTGATTCTCTCCCCGATAGGTTTAGGATCTGCACCGATATCGCTCATCCTGTGAAGAATCTAGGCTACATCAACGACATGAGTTATTACAAGGTATACATTTATCACAACGAAAATCTAAGACTTTTAATGAATCTGTGCGCGTCGCTGGTTCCAATTTGTATGTTAGTAATCACAAAATGATGAATTTGTTTGTTGGGTTGATAAGGGAGAGTCGTCTTTGATTAAAGGAATTAACTTTAGGGATTTAATGTCTCTGAAAGGGACATGCTTTTACAGTGGAATTTATAGATTAGATGTGGGTGTTATAGCTCCCATTTCGTCTATCAAATATGAAGTATCAATAGTGTTTTGTTCTTTGTATTTCTGATTCTGCAATGTCATGAGAGAGTGGAGGTGCCGTGAGAGCAAGTGAGATGGGTTCCTGAGAGTTGTGATAGTCCTTTGGTCTTCGTTAGAAACTTGTCATTCTGGATCGTGTTGCTTTTCTTATATGTGTGACATCATGCTGAAACAGATTGTATGTGTTGCTTGCGGCAGTTTCTGCATCCATTTGAAGATGACTCGTATAGGTTGGTTAGGTTTCTAGTTGAGAGGCTTTCATAGAAAAATGAAGGACTGAAAACTTCCCTAGCTAATGATGTAGCTAGCAGACCCACGATGGAGAATTTCAGAGATACTTCAGAAGATTTTGGAGCGTAGAGGCTAGGGTTGAAAAAATAGTTGAGAGAGAGGGGGAGAAGGAACTTGACACCATTAAAGAGCAGTATCTCGGATGTAAGAGCTTGACTTACGGTAAGTAGTTTCTGATTCAATAATGCTAATTTTTCATATTTTTGTGTGTGTTGGAACGAAATCAATGTTATGTGAGCTCTAAGTCTTTTACTTTCTAGGTTCGTATACTTGGGAAGTTAGAGTAAATAAAAAGTTATTAGTGGCATTAGTTTAGTTATTCTATTCACAATTGTATCCGTTGTTCTTCTTGTTACATGATGAACATGGCATCCACATCTTAATTAACATGAGTTTTGATTAGTTCCTATGATCTTGATCTTTTTTTTTTTGCCTAACTTATTTGGAGGTTTTATTAAACTAAACCTTGAGCCATCTTTTAACCGATTATTTGGTGGGTTTGACTAACAGGACTCAGGAGAGTTGGGACAAAACTCTCAGCCTAACCAAGTGCCTAGAAGTCTACAACTAGTGAAGGGCGTCGATCACATGTAGAACGTCCCGAGTCCGAAGAATCGTATATCGAGATTGTCAACTTAATTTATGTTTAGCTTTGTAACAAATAATTTGATCTTATAAATAATATATTTATTTATTTGGATTAATAAATTTTGTGTTTTCATAATTTGCATTTTTTTTGAAAATTTGAAATATTAAAATCAATTTAAAATGTATATTACTTAATTAATAAATTATTCATATTGGTAGGAAAACCGAATGTAACACTTCGAAGGAAACTAGAATGAAAATTTTGGTAGGAAAATAGAAAGAATTAATCATTTGTAGGAAACTTGAAGGAAAATATTTGGTAGGAAATTAGAAGAAACCTGTTTCCTACGATTTTTTTTGAAGGAATATGGTCAATAATGCCCTTCTCCGTTCCTACGAAATAACCTATGAAATTTCCTTTGGCGCATTTTTGGTAGGAAATTTCCTACCAATATCTTACCATTTACGATTTCCTACGGGCGATTTCCTACCATTCTTTTCGTAGGAATATCGTAAGAAACAGCTGTTTCCTACCATTTTTTCACGCAATTGGCTGTAGGAAATTACTGTTTTTCTTGTAGTGAATCGACTTCTCAAACGACAAACTCGAAAAATAAAACTCTGAAATCTACGCGAAAAAGATATGGAATCTACCATATAAGAAATTGAACTCTTTAACTTTTATTGATAACAATAAGAAATTTTTTTCTCTAAGTTATGACCGTAGTTGTTTAAATACTAAGATAGAACTCTTAAAAAAAACCCTAGAGTTTTGATTTGCCAGAAAAAATATATATAGAATGTAAAATTAGATTAAAACGCTAACGATTGATTAAGCTCTTGGATCAAACTCTATTGCCAGGATTCTGAATCACTCTTTAACATGGCTCTTCTCATGAGTTCTCCTTTGCTGTAACCAAAGTGATGTGTTTAATGAAATAGAGAAAATAGATATTTTGTGAAGAGTCCATGTTAGGTAATGCATTATACCATTTGAGAGAAACAGCTTTAAGCCTATCTTGTCTAATTTCCTAATCATTTTTCTTTTAAGCGTAATAATTAATTACAAAGCGAAGCTCCAGTGATGGTCCTAGCCCCAATTATTAAAACTTTTTTTTTGTTTTTTGTGAAGAGTCCGTCACTGTAATCTACCAAATTTGGCACAGCATCTTGAAAGCCTAGGCTCTTGTATAGTTACATCATATTTTCCGTGTAGGTTAAGAAGTCTTACACCATCGATGGTCCTTAGTCCTTAGTAGATGTTAGGTAGCTATATTAATCTCTGAGTTGTCCTAGATTTTCAAATGAGTGGAAATAAAGAACACTCAAGAGAACCATTTGACGTGGACTATACAAACATGCATGTGTGTTTGTCTGTGGGAAACTTCTAATTCTGGATTCAAGTTGCATTGATTTGCTTTATAACACTTCTTTATCGGTAAGATACGGTTTCGACCATTGCTAGAAAAGAAAAATTGATATTTTCAATTACACAATTTTATTTTAATTTGAATGATAGTTGGACTTGGACCATTACTAAAGTGACAAGTGTTATTTGGCATTCTCACCTCTATCTCATACGAGAACTCCAGTCCATTTGCTCTCATACCTTTTTATTAACTCTCATAATTGTAACGAAAGGTGTACGTTGTATATTCGTGAAACATCATATATTAGAAGAAATTTTATATCAGTTAACATTTAAAATATATGATAAAAGTAGGGTTTTGTGCAATTATTTTTTAGTCGTCAATTTTTGTAGTTTTACTCTCTTTTAAATAAATATATTAAGTCAAAATAATATACAATATAAATCTTATACGCATTGCTCATGGTAAGTTATGTAAAATATGTCCCTAGTAACGCTGGCTTATTTTTTTAAATGTGTCCCTAGTAAAATTTCCTACATTTGTTAAAGCTGGCTTGTTTTTTGTAGGACATGGTGCTCGGTGGGACAGACACATCATTACACGTCATAGAATTCGCGATGGCCGAGCTATTACACAACCCGGATATCATGAAGAGAGCTCAACAAGAGCTTGAAAAAGTTGTGGGGAAAGACAAAGTAGTGGAGGAATATCACATCTCTAAACTTCCATACATTCTCGCCATTATGAAAGAAACTCTAAGGCTGCACACGATTGCTCCACTCCTTCTTGCTCACCGCCCTTCACAAACCACTGTGGTGGGCGGTTTTACCATACCTAAAGATTCAAAGATTTTCATAAATGCGTGGGCGATCCATAGGAATCCAAATGTTTGGGAGGATCCACTCAAGTTTGACCCTGACAGGTTTCTTGATAAGTCTTGTGACTTCAATGGAAATGGGTTTAGTTATCTACCGTTTGGGTCTGGTCGTAGGATTTGTCCTGGAATGGCTATGGCCCAGAGGGTTGTTCTTTACAATATCGCTACATTCTTGCATTCTTTTGATTGGGTAATTCCCCAAGCAGAAAGAGTTGGGGTCGAGGAAACGTTTGGGATCGTGTTGAAGCTGAAAAATCCACTTGTTGCCACGCCCGTGCTAAGGTTGTCGGATCCAAATCTTTATCTATAGTTCAACGCAAAGGAGAATTGAATGTTCTTCTGCGGCCTTGGGGATATATTCTATGTGTTTTATAATCTAATAAAAGCAGTACTATCACGTGAATAAAATCTCCATATACTTATCCCTTTAATATCCTATGTCACGTAAATTGGGAAAAGACTCATAAGTCATAACCCGTTCGGTCAATATGTAATTTTATTTTTGTAATGGTACGTAATACTAAATTGTGGTGGTTGGAGACTAATCTTGATTTATCAAAAGAAAATTTGTATATAATACTTATCCCTTTTTGTTTGTTTTCTCCTTATAATATGATTTATCATAAGAAAAGACTCTCATTTATGTTTGAATAATTAAGTAAATAGTCGATAAGAACAGACTCTGCTATGTTTGAATAATTAATTAAATAGACATCGACATAGTAAAACATCAACTACTAAGACCAAACAGAAAGAGTGTCATATATGAAAAAACAAACACATCAACATTTTATTGTAGTAAAAAAGTATAATCAAACACACAACCCTGAAAATCAAATAAAACCGCAAATCACACAGCACACAAATGCATATAGCTGATATAAAAAACGAAAAGTAACAAACAATTTATGCATCCCAAGTCTCTAGAGGAGTATGGGATCTACGAGCATAAGGCTCATATATTCCTTGAGTTTTCCTTCACGGTTGTTGTAGACATCATCGGCCGTATAGAGAACATCCAATGAGCTTGCATAGTTGAAATATTGCATAGGAATTCGGTGTGGCATGGTGGTCATCTTCAAGCACTCTTCGTTAAAAATCTTGTTCATATCTCCATTTATCATTTCAAGTTCTCTAACGGCTTGCTCTTTTGTAACTCCGTGTTCGTTCATGTAATAGTTCAGTGCATTTGCAGTGTAACCTTTTTCCATATCCTCCTGATGACATATACCAAACTTTCAACAAAAAATAACTATGCAAAGAGAAGTTTGAAATTGAGTAAAACAAAATCTATCAGTATAGCATTATCGTTATATTCGTGGAAGACATAATTCATTATCATTAAAAACACATTCTATCACTAAGAATTAATAGTTCAACTGGTAAAAATTTCAGACAAAAAACTAAATATTTGAATGCCTCATGGGACGAGACCATATGAGATGCTCTGGTCTCGGATTTAAAAGGATGTACAAAGCTACACTCATAATCTCTTTGTTATTAAAAAAAAAAAACACATTTTGTCTCTACGAATTTTACTATTGGATGAGGCTTTGTTATAAAAGATGACAGCGCCAAATGAATTGAATCAAACCTGAAACAAAAAAAAAAAACCAAAGTGACGAGGCCAACCCAAAGGGAGAAGCTAAGGCTAATTGGATAACACCAACATATGTATTAATAGAAAGTTGCCCACGCGATGCGTGGGTTATACATGAAATATTAATTAAAAATTATATTTAGTTATATATGTGTATAAGTGTTAATATATGTTTTAAAAATAATTTTAAAACAAAATAATATGTTTATATTCATTATGTGTATTACAAAATAATTAACTCACAAACAAAATTGAACGCGATCGCAAAATTAGTATAAAACATATTTTGTGTACATTGTAAACATTAAAAATAAACGAAAGTATATTTGGAAAATATAAAACTGAATGAGATCTAAACAAAGTAATACAAATTTAGCACATACACAATATACAAAATTAGCACATACAAAAAATTATGAGCATTTGTTACTCACCTTATATTTTATCATAACCTAAAAGTAACTTAAATTTT